CCACGGGGAGGTCGACCTGTTAGGGTATATTATTAGCAATGGAACTGATAATCCGCATTACTAACAATCCCTTCTCCCCCAAAATAATGTAATTCTAAAATAAAATGTATATTTACATAACGCAAGCTATTTAGAAAATTGTTAAGTGATCATGATATAATTGTATCATTCAAAAATCCACTTACCTTTAATTATTTCTTGTTAAGTATAAATATTATTTCAAATCTGCTCCCTTAATATGCACTTTTTTACTGCTTTTCCTACCTAAAAAAATTCTTTGCAAAAGTATTTAAATGTAATTTGATGTCTTACTAATTGTTTTTATTAAGTAAAGCCTTATTAAGCGGTTCATATTACGGATTCGAAATTTGAATCGTTCATATTCACATGTCTGTTTTGTTTATTACATTGTACCATCGCCGGCTCACGCGCCGATCTCTCCCATTACGACCGCTTCTTTGCATGCGATCGTGGCACGCCCTTCCAACTTTTTACTTCGATGTGTTTGTTTGCCAATAGTTGCCACGCTGTGCAGGCGGATTGGCAACAGCAATTAGGCTTTGGTGATGTTTGAAGAACCCTTATTATTAAAAATACCTCAACCGTTAAGTTCCCTTAGTCGCCTTTTACGATATCCACGGGGAAAGAAGGGTAAATTATGATAATACAGATAAATTGTATGATCGCAATAATTCTTCCCTTCTTTTTTCCCGTAATTGGATTGCGAAATTTGAATATTAAGAAATTTTGTTTATAAATATCTAAACCATATAAAAGATTATCTGCATGCTTATAAAACATAAATTTTAGTAATAATATATATATATATATATATATATATATACAAATTTTATGTTTTGACAAAATAAATGTATTTGATATTGTAAAATAAAAATTTCTTTATATCAATTAAATATATTGTCCTAATGTTGACTAATCTAGATAAAGCACATACACGATAAGTGGTGATGGTAAATATCAATCTAAAACTATATATTCCTAGAGCTCAAAATAACTTGCGCACTAATTAATTTGTGTACGTATCACTTGGCTTGTATTAATATTCGCTCGGTATGTATCGCCACTGAAATTACTGTATTGGAATCCAAGGTGTCAACAAGTAAATCATATCTATGTCAGTGCATGCAATGCAGTAAGCAAATTGTTTATTAAGAGGTTTAATAATTGTTAATTTAATACTGCAAGTATAAACTGCCGTTATGGGCCCAGCGTAGAACGGCTTAACCCTTCCTTTCCCGAGAGTGTCGTAAGAGGCGACTAATGTGACTTAATGGTCGAAGAGTGGGCAGCAGCGTCCCTCTTAAAACATCACCAAAGTCTAACAGCGCCAAATCTGCCTGCCAAGCGTGGCAACTACTGGCAAATCAGTAGTTGCCACGCTTAACAATTAAAAGACAGTTAACAGCTAATATCATGATGTTGTATAAACTCTACTGACTTCATATGTGACATCGTGGTTTCCGATACGTCTCGAAACAGTGGTGACCCCAACGTGATTCTCTCATCCACTAAGAAATCGTCAAATAACACCCTTCGGATAATCTCTGTCTGTACAGCACGTTTAAACATAGATATAACTCCGTATCACGGGGGGGAAAGGGATTGTTAGTAATGGAGACTGAGAATCCCATTGCTAGCAATATACCCAACCAGGTCGACCTCCTCGCGGTTCTCCCTGGAAACTATCATGGTTAATTCCTGAAGAATTCATCATGATGGGCTAACTGGCCTGTTTTCATTCTCATCTATCACCCTTCACTGGTGCTCCGCCTTTGGCAATGGTATATTGCTAGCAATGGAGCCTTTAGATCCCATTAGTAATAGGATCATTATTATAAAATTAATATAAAAACACAATAAATATACTTACCCATATATAAATAATACATACAAGAAGATAAGAATGGTAAATATGTATGCATGTATATTGAGAGGAGACTGCCAGCTGCACCTATGAAATCGGATCCTGTTGGGTTCCGTCAACGGATTTCACTAGTGTATAAGTTTCGGCGAGTAGTCAGTGAAGCGTATTACATAGTGCTACTCTTTTTCTCGTTGATATCTCACCGTTATACCTCATCAGGAATATAACGCTTGTAGACGCATAAGTTTCCATTTGTGACGATCTATTTCGGCAACCTTGATTGTTCATACCAACCGAGACCAGTTCTGTAATTAACAAACAGGTCACTCGCCATCATGGAATCATAAACAAAATAATAAATTACACCACGAAATAATTACATACAATAACAATAACATATATTTATCAATATATTAAAGACTTTAAGTGAATGGAAATCCCGTCACGAAAACCCCAGAACGTAGAAATAGTGATTTATGGATGAACAGGAGTTACGTATTAATTTAATTTACATGATTAGAACATTTACATAATGGCACACATAACACCTTATGTTATTTAACCGTTTTTTAAACAGAGGTTCTTAATTCGACTGCTGTGTATTTTTGAGAACCGGCCCCCAATTTAAACTATAGTCGGTTGTTCTAGAAAAAAATCTTTAATTATTATAAATGGTATATTGAGGAACTAGCGACCCGTCTCTCCGTAATGTGTGTGGCTTTCTGTAGGTGAAAAAATGTTTAAGTTTGGTTAAGTAATATTTGGGTTTGTCTATTCCAAACAAACATGCAAAAAAATCAAGTCTTTCCTCTTTATAATATTATTATAAAGTAGATTAGTATTTACAAACCCATAAACGTCCTACTTCTGCGCCCTTTTCATAATAAAGATTGTTTGTCACAAAAAACACTTTAATTGTGACAAAACAGTGATTTTGATTTAAAAACTAAACAAAAATACAAAATTGAATTTGTTACAATTTTGTACGGGACCAATCTGTATATTTTTTTTATAAAAAGGAATTTTCCAAATCGGCTTACAACTGATAGTGTTATGAGGTAACAAACATAAAAAAAAATACAACCTATTTGATAACCTCCTTCTTTTTGAAGTCGGTTGAAAAGAGGATTCTAATCTTGGCTTAGCCATGTCTCGGTATTATTTCAAGCCTTCCTTACACCGTTATTGACAATGGCAGGTTCTAAACTACAATTACGATGTGCGTCGCTTACGCAATTAGTTCACGCATACTGAGGCACACATCTCATCACAGTTTATGAGTTGCACCGATTGTTACACTACATGCGCCCGCGCAGCACACACACACAAAGACATTTGCTATGGTAATCGATACTTATACGCAATAAATACTTACGACACCACAACACCTACAATTGTGTCGGTATGTATACGAGTATATGCACACAATGGCATGTCTATATAGAAACATTATGTACTTAGTATGTATGTATTACTCATTGATATACAAAAGCCCAAGATTAATATCTCAATACAAAAGTTTTTGCAAGGAATCCAATATTTACGGTGAATGTACTTACTTTTATGAGGGTTTCTCTAGAAGTTATAATCTTGACAGAGAAAAATATTGTACCATATCGTAATTATCAAAATGTCGCTGGCAGTGACACTTGTCACGTGTGTGTATGTGTGTGTGTGTGTGTGTGTGTGTGTGTGCGTTAGAAATTAGTGCATAATTTGGTTGATTGTCTACTATTTAAGTGCCATTTTTTAGTAACTTTATATGTGGGGTTTTTTGTAAATCAATAGTATTACGCCTATATGCCTTTATATTTCCCCCCCATAATGATTCATTCACAATTGATTCATAAGCATGTACTTGTTTGTACAGTTAATAGTACGTACAAGAGGACAAATATAATACAATGATTTGCTACATATTATAATATCATCTCAGCCATTCATTGTCTATTTTTTAATATATATCAATGGATAATTTATATATTTCTGTTTCTAGCAAATTCGAGCATGAAACAGATGGAAACAGTTACAAATATAACTTAGATTGTAACTGAAACTGTCAAATGAAACTCAATTTAATTTCGAACAATTTAAAATTTATTCTGCTACCTAATTTGTCAAAGTGTGCCTATCTGAATTAAGAAAGAAAGCATCGTCAAGCGTCGGTAAGCGTCAATGGAAAATAATGTGTTTGAATGTTTAGAAAACGAGTAGTACCTAATCAACGTAGGTATCTTAAAACTTTGAATACCTACGGCGGAAATAAAAAAACAATTTTATAGAATAGAAATCGTCTTTATTCAAATAAACTTGTTTACAAGCTTTTTTGAATCGTCACTTTTTAATGACTTTGCTGCCGGATTCGGAACGTTGTTATCTACTGAGAAGAATCCGCGAGAAACTCAACAGTTGCTCTTTTAAATTTACTTATGTACAAGATTATTATATATATGTATAGAACTACAACTTAACGGTGTGGTCCCGGGATAGAATAAGCCACCCAAATCATTTTCCGTGGGTGTCGTAAGAGGCCACTAAGCGAAATTAAGGTCGAGGACTGGGCAGTATCGTTCCTCTTAATAACATCAACGAAACTTAACTGCCCTTGTCAACTCGTCTGCCAAGCGTGATAACTACTGACAATATCCTCCTTATTGGGGAGGCCTCTATTCAGCAGTGCACAATTAACAGCTAAATAAATTAAACTACACGAACCTTAATCCTTCTTTGCATACTGGTGGAAATTTCTATCATAACATTGAATGCCCAAAAATTATATAAAAGAACAAGTTCACTTTAAATAGATCGTTTCTAGATACCTTTTTAATGTCCATCCCAGAAAAAAAAAAATATAGATTTCAAATTTATTTTTTTAACCATTTTGTACATAAATTATATCACCTTAATTTATTTCACCAATAAAAAAAATCATGCAAAGAAGGGTTAACAAAATTTATCTCTTCAAATCTCTGTTAACATTATGTGTTATTGTTTAAAATATATTGGTTATTATTTTGTTGTTATTATTGAGAATTATGTAATTTTCTGACATTTTTTTTTTAATAAATAAGAGATTGATACACGATGCTCTAAATAATATGTTTTTTAATTCCAGATGTCTCCTGTCGAGGGACTTTGTGAGGCTGGGCAAGTGGTTTGTGCAACCCTACGATGGCGACGAGGAGGATGTAGGCAAGAGGTATTGTCGACCAATTATCAACCTTACACCTTATCTGTCACGATCTAGTTTCCAACACGGGTCAGTCGCTATAGATATATGATCCTGAGTACTCCATTCGAAAGTGAAAGTATAGGTATTGATATAAATTGCGTGATATTAAAAAGTTTGTCATAATTATGTGTCAGAAAGTATATGTCATGTGCACTTATATATACTTTTTGACACGTTGTTTTATTGCCTAACTAGTTTTATAACACGCGACCTCGCTGCCCGAGATACATTAATTGAGATAAAAACCTATACCCTATACCCTACTCTATCCTAAATACTATGTTTATACGAAATTTCATGATGATTTAATGACAAAAATCGAAAAAGGAATATTGCATTAGTTTTGCCCATTTAAAAAACATGGATAAAAGAAGTATTACGTAAGAGATTTATCGAGCAAGAATGAATGGAGATGTCTGGGTGGGTGGGATGATGGGGCCGCTCTAGACGGATGTATGTCGACCAGATAGGCGACGTGCTGAAGAAGGGCCAAATTAAAAGTATCCGTAACCAGCGAGCGTGTATGAAAAGATTGATGAATGTGGAAGAAGCGAAAGAGGTTTGTTTGAATCGAAGCATTTGGCGTTCCATTGCTTCTGCCTACCCTAATGGGAGACAGGCGTGATAGATATGTATGTCATGATGATTGGTTTAGGCGTTAACGCGCCAAGAGATAACAACCTCAATTTTGCATTTATAACATTAATTGCTATAAGAGATACTCTCTTTGTCCAAAAAAACTATTATAACTTTTGAACACTTAATCACCGTTTGTTCATCTGTGCCTATAATAATAGTAACCCTAAAATGGATATACCGATTTCAATGCTACCTTTTATACTAAAGCTAATTTAATCGTAATGCCTGAAGGTTTGTTAGTATGAATGTTCGGAAGTACAATTTGGACCGGCTGTATTCAATGGGCCGTGTGCAAACAGATCGTGTAACAGCGACCTTTTCTTCCTATATTGAAATGAAGCTATCTGTGTTGTGCTCACTGAGACATTAGAGCGTAACTTCGTTCCCCTTCATACATTTAAACTATAAAGACGAATCGAAAGCCTTCCCATATAAACTTGACTGGGCTTAATATAAAAGGCTCAATTTTTTGTCAGGAACTCCTCGTGTTTCTGATTATAATATCATATATGCCGTTAACTGTCCACTGCTGATCTTAAACCGTCTCCTATTAGGTATTTTGCTAGTAGTTGCCACACTTAGCAGGCGGGTTGGCAACTGCAGCTAGGTTTTGGTGATGTTAAAGAGGAACAATCCCGCATATTTTTGTGCTTTCTCACTATTCTTAAAATATTTTTTTTATACAACTTAGAATGGCAAACAAGCTGACGACCCACCTGATGAAAAGTGGTAACCGTTGCCTATAGACATGAGCAGTACTATGGACATAACAGAGTATACTGTTTCGTCCATGATACTCCCCATGCGTTGCTATTCTTGAGGACTCAAGTGTTATTCCTCTGTACCCTGTAAATTCACGCCATATCCCACCATTCAAACCGAAACACAGCCATGCAAACACAACTGGTTTACGGTTGAAACAGGAATCCGACAGAGGTACCCAAGCAAACGACTTTTGTACAAAGTCTCCCTCTGGTAATAATGCTAATGACTTCGTTTTCACCCTGTACTTTCAAATTATGTAGTGTTCCATTTGCAATTCTATTTTGTTTTATAGTATTAAATATAATAGAGAATAAGGTCACAAGATTGCCAGTGACAACTGCCGTCAATAACGTAAACAACATATTCATAAACAAACCTCTGTATTGAAGTATTTGTTTTTCGGCTTACATATTAGAAAAACAATATTTGTAACGTTATTATCATATCGTGGGCGTTGCTTTACTTTCCGTGATGTCCATGTATTAAAGATACCAAAACACCTTGTATAGGTCAATAATAAAATTTACTTAGATTCAATATGGAATGACTTATCTCTGCATTTCCTGGAAAAAAAAGTCCATAAAATTCCATGTTTTTGTCAGGCGATGATTACCACTTTCTATCAGGTGGGCCGTCAGCTTGTTTGCCATTCTAAGTTGCATTAAAAAAATAAATTAATAAACATGCCACACTTGTATAAAGGTGTTATCATCGTCATATCAGACTTTAACTGTCCTCTGTTGAGCATAACTTCCCCCTTGGAGGGTTTTGCCAGTAGTCGCCACACTTGGCAGGCAGATTGGCAGCCGCAGTTAGGCTTTAAAGATGTTTTAAGAGGGCCGCTGCTGCCCATCCCTCGCCCTCCCTTAGTCACCTATTACGAAATCCATAAGAAAGGAAGGAGGGGCCTATTCTATACCGGGATCACACGACCCACACAAATATGTTATAGGTATTATGTTACAGGTTCCTATATGTAATTAATTCGATGTATGTTCGTGTTTCAGCCCATGGCACCTGTCGTTCTCGTTCGCGTTCTTCTTGCACGGCGAGAGTACGGTGTGCGCGTCGGTGGACGTGCGGCAACACCCGCCCGTGCGGACGCTGACCGCGCGTCGCCGCCACGCGCTTCACGGCGCTGGTAGGCGTGCTGATGCTAAAGGTTAGTACCTGCTTACTCTACTTATTTTAATTTTGCTACAGCCGTCATATTATAACTCCCTGTCTTTTTACACAATGAAGGCATGAAACAGATATATTGTCAGCTTGACTGTAAGCGGCTACAATATCTCATGAAAGCTTCCAATATCAGACCATTTTGATCTGTGTGATATGACAATTTATATTATACTGGTCTTACTACTAAGTCTCACCCTTTAAAACAGGACACAGTATGTAGGAAATATGCTTGGTGGCAGAATTAGTAGACAAACATGTCAAGCCAGATGTCTTTGTATAAAGTTTATCTTTGTTCTTTTATTATTTTCTATAAACTAAAATGTTGCATTTTTATTATCATAACCATACGTTTAATGTGACATAATAATATGAATACTTGATATTTTTATTTGTGTGATTATTTTCAACAGTCATCCTGGCGCCATTCGGTCTGGAGGGCACGTTGACGGGCCGCGAGTGGACCGACAATGACCCCGCTACCGCGAGACTGCTCGAGGCGTGGCGGCAACTGTACCCACTAGAGCAGGGCTGTGGAGCCGTCGAGGTATAAGATTAAATCTTTTATTTGTTTAATTAGTTATAACATAATTTTATAGATATGTCTTATCGTTATCCGGCCCGAAGGACCATATAAAGCTACAGTGATGTCATTGAATTTTACATTGGTCAGGTGGTGTGTGGCGGGGTCCGCATGCGGTACCCGCTGCCGTACGCACTGGTGACGGAGATGGAGTCGGCGCCCGCGCCGCCGCCCTCCGCCGCCGCGCTCGCGCGCCGCACCATGCACGCGCTCGCCGCGCCCTCGCCGCACCTCCTGCAGGTACGCACCCTGCACTCTACGCAGTCACTACCCACGCACCATATACGCACTCTTCGCGCCCCAACTACTGCACATACACTAATGCACTATACGTACAAGTACACTGTACCGCATTGTACACTGCGTACTGTACGCACTACTCTACACTACACCATCTCTGCTACGTGCATTCCTCTTCGCATTTTCGCCGCCCCTACTGCATGCACGCACTATGCAGAGTACACTACACTGCCCACTGTACGCACTACGTTACACTGTACCAGCGCCGCACCATGATTCGCGCCCTCACCGCACCTACTTCAGGTACATACCGCGCACTGTACACTACGCCACCGCAGTACAGTGCACGCCTTTTATATTACTTGTTGCAAGTACGTGTACGTACTGTGTACTTATCACTATACCACCATTACACGTGCTAGACACGCACTACAGTGGGTTGCCAAATTAATAGGGACAGTCACATTTTTTATAATTTTTGTTCCTCAAGTGCCCCTGATTGCGTTTTTAAGTGGTATAAGTGTGTTTGAAATATGTTTTTATGTTATCAGTATCTCTGTAACTCAAATTTAAAGTGAATTTCGAGTGCTGAGAGATTTATTTATTTTGTAAATATATTTTAATAACGAGAGAGACACGCAGTCGTCCACACGTGTAAAAGTGAAACACGTAAATAATTCTTTTGAACAGTTCATTTGTGGTTTTGTGAAATAATTATTACCTGCAAGTAAGTACTATTTTACTATTATTAAAATTAAAGTATTTTGAGGCAGATTTTAGAACAATTTTTATTTTTATATATTTTTACAGCTTTGGCTATGGGTCGAGGGGTAGATTTGTCTCCGAGAAAAAAAAATCTGAGATTAAAACCCTTCTCCTAACCACAAGTCATTCTCAAAGAAAGATAGCAGAACTGGCCGGCGTATCTAAGTCTGCTGTCAATAAAATAAAGGTCAATTTAGACCAGAATCGGCCACTTTCGCCCAAAAGAAAAGGCAAATGTGGCAGAAAACGTATCACAACAGCACGTTCTGATAGGAAAATTCGGGATATCTGTTTGCAAAACAGAAAGAAAAGTATTGGATTCTTAACTCAGATGGTACAGGAATATGGAATACCTGTTTCTAAAAGAACTGTACAGCGAAGGTTGGCAGAGGAAGGCCTGACAGGTCATCGTCCAGTTAAGAAACCACGATTGACAAATGCGATGAAGAAGAAACGGCTTGCTTGGGCTCGTGAGCACCGCCTGAAGACTGTTGAAGACTGGAATAAAGTCAGTTCTAATGTCAATTTTGTTTGTGTTATATAAAATCATATTTATAAAAATTATGAATAAATTTCTATTTTTTTTTTAGGTATGTTTTTCAGACGAGTCAACATTTGAAATTCTAGCCGACAAAAGTAACTTTGTCAGGCGGCGTCCGGGCGAGAAATTTCACCCTGATTGCATAGTGGAACGTGTTAAACACCCTGTAAAAATAATGGTATGGTCTGTCATAAGCGCAAAAGGGGTTGGGCGCCTCTATATAGTCCAGGAAACCATGAGACAGGACCAATACAAGCAAGTATTAGAAACACGCCTGTTGCCACAACTCCAGGAATGGTTCCCGAATGGGGAGGAATTTGTGTTTATGCAAGATTCAGCTCCATGCCATAAAGCGAGGAGTGTAACCAAATTTTTGGAAGACCACAACATTCCAGTTTTACCTTGGCCTGGCAATTCTCCTGATATGAATCCCATAGAAAACTTGTGGCAAATTACCAAGGCGGAAATTGCCAAGGAAATGATAACTACCAAAGAAAAACTGGTTGAAAAGTTAATAAATATTTGGCATCACAATCCCAAAATAAAAGAAAGTGCTAAACAGTGTATCGAAAGTATGCCGAGGCGGATTCAAGCACTGATAGAAGCAAAAGGAAATGTGACAAAATATTGATAATTTCCTATCATAGTACTTATTATACTTGTTTATATTTTCAAGTTGTTTAAATATTAAATTATTGTATTCTAAATTCATTAAAGATATGTATCTAATATTATTAAATATAATCATAGCCTAAAGTGACGTTTTGAATTAATTATGGACCAATATTTTACAAAAAACCAATATTTCGTGACTGTCCCTATTAATTTGGCAACCCACTGTATTATCTGATACTACACTGCACCATTACTGTACGTGTTCCTGATATAACAGTATACTACTCTATTATAATATGGAATTAATTTCCTGTCTACTATTGGAAGATGGAAACGGAACTTTTTTTTATTGCTAAATCTGTTCTGAGTATACTTCCAAAATTAAAAAAGAAAAAGGAACGAAGTTAAATTGACTATCACTATTGAATTCCTTAGTGGCAGTCAGTTCAACCATTCTGACAATGTTTGATAATTATCTGCATAATAAAATAGTAAAGCAAATGATATTGTGGTACTGCTATTGAGTTGAATGATACCACTCCAGGCAGAGTCGTGCTGCAACGAGTCGTCCGGCGAGAAGCCCGAGGACTTCGTGGACCCCACCCGCAAGACGCCGTGCACCTGCGCCAAGTGAGTGCACGCTCCGCATTATATATACGCTCCTATATTATATACGCAATATTATATTATACAATTTATCTGAAGCGCACGCTCGTGACCCTATCGAATATTTTTTTATGCATTAATCGAACACCAATTTTGCTATGTCGCGGCATATTGTTCGTTCGATAGCGTCATATAGTGTGTATGAATTGTTTATATATAATAGTAGATACGAGCAGTATGTAGCCGTAGAACGAACGTTGTGTGTCTTGCATTTATAATATTTATTTATGAGAATTTCAGTTATGTAGTTGATGAGATGCATTCGAATGAGCCCAGCGCATGTCGCGGTCAACATTGAACCTTATTGCTAGCTCATAAGGCATATTGACCGTGACCGGCGCCGTAGACTTAACCGGGTACTGCCGTGTAGATAGATAGGTAGATGTTATGTTTGTGAATGTTTTTATATAGTTATATATTTATTTTATACATATGTAGTCTTAAGCAGTAGAGGGTTACAGCTGCTTTGCCAACGGACGTGTTGACATGTTCGATGGTGTTGCGCTTCAAGCGACGAACGAATCTCTATCTCTCTCGTGACTAAAATGTCACTTGAACTCATTCATAGAAATTTGCAAAGGTTCCTTCGTCGCCCGACGTCGCGGTCAGGCACTTGTCACACTTTAAACTCTCCTATACATCGAGTCAGCTTATTTTTTGCTTGTTACTGATACTGAATATTTTTGTAATTGCGGTGGCCACTTACTACTTAACATGTTTATGTATTTTACTATTTCGGCCTCGGGAACGATACTCGTACTTATGTCGCGTGCTCTGCATACTCCCAATTAGGTGATAGAAAACCGGTCGTTTACGTTTTATACAGTAAACGTACGTCGACACGCTGTCGAATACGAACCGTAACGCGGTAACCGGAAACGTCTCGAGGCTAGACGAGGCTCACCGCCCGCAAGCTACGCGCGGGGCGCGCACGAGCAGCGCTAGCGCCAAGTCCTGGCGCCAGAGACAGGCACAGAGAGGCAAAGTGTGAGAAGCGCGCGACGCGCAGGTAGGGCCGCGGCCGGGAGTGCGGTCGGCTAGCGTTGTGTTGGTGCAGGTGGCGGCGGCGGCGCGGCCCGCGGCCCCCGCCCTTCCACCGCCGCGCGCCCGCCCGCGCGCCGCGCCGCGCCGCGCCCCCGCCCGCGCCCGCCTCCGCCTCCGCCTCCGCCTCCGCCACCGCCGCCGCCCCCGCCCCGCCGCGCGCCGCGCTCACGTGAGTACCGCAGGGACCGCCTCATGCATCGCTCCTCTCACCGCCCACCGCTACCTCCCCCCTCGCCGGCGCCGCAGACGTCACCCCGAGCGGCCGGAAACGCCGCCGCAGGTGAGCACCCATACGAGAGAGCGACCTCGCCTCGTAGGGACATCGTTACCTAGGTCCATCGAAAACTCCCACGAGCCCGGCCACATCGTCATGTCATATCGAGCAACGAATAATAAAATAGCGCTTGCTCTGCATGCCATAGTGCCTACATAACTTACTGTTATATAAATATTTATCATAAAGTAGTTACGATTACATATACCGCATGAAATAATCGATTGTTTACCGCCATATAATCTGCATGTTCTGTGCCGTATATACGTCTGGGTAACATTTGAAGTTGTGTTTCTTAAACTATTAAGGACATAAGTCAATAAGTATTAAACATTAGCACATTGCTATATCTCCTATGAACAGTTTTGTATTTTATAATGTTTATACTTATGTTATCATAGTTTAATAAAATAAACCGTTGTCACCAACAAACAAATAATGTAATCAATTTGTAAGAGGTGACTTCTTCAACTATTGACTTTTGATAAAAAAAAAAAATGTTGTCATCAAAAATGTGTAACCAATCATTATCTATCTATAACCTTCATATTTTCCATAGGTCTAGCGACCTAAGGAAGAAAAAGAATCCGGTCCGAAGGACTAAAAATAGACTTCTTTTAACTTTTGAGTCGGATATATAAACAGCCCCACACTCAAATTAATAAATGGGGAGTCTGTAGTTGCATTCAATCATTTGTGACAGAAAATATAAAATCGTTCCTAAAGTTTGATCCTCTTATTCAAAAAACTAAAGCTTCCTCCAACTCTATTTCAGTTATTACAGTGTTTTGTTTTCTCTTGCCATTCACAATTGAAATTTATCACTTAATAAAAAGACAAAACACTTCACTACTTAAAATAGTTTTAAGAGAGTTTTCATATTTTTATGAATAAAGGGAGCACACCTGCTCCCCTATAATATTGTTAGACAGCATTATCCTTTGCACGAACCACAACTTCTTACCACTTCATCTGATTGATAGCGAGCTTCGACACGCAGAAAACGATCTATAACGAAGGCAGCCCGAATTTATGTATTGGCCAATCGTTGTGAACTAAACAGTTCGACCGTTATGTTTGAAAAATGTCGGTGGTTGCGGGCACATCTTTTTAACCTTGGTCGCTTTCTGCCTGTTTAAGAGGATTTATAATCGTAAGACTCGGCAACTTGTGTTATTATCTCTCAAAATTAATTAATTAAACATCTGCCTTCCCCCCACCCCTCCCCACCCCCTCTAAGGGTAGAACACTTACAAAAAATTTACGATTTGCCTAAGAAAGAACGAGACAGCAACATCTTGCGTATTGTTCTTTCTCGTGAGCGTAATAATGAAAACCTTATCGATCAATCCTATCTTTTAACTTGTATAATGTGAATAATTGTTTGGTAGTAACCCCCCCCCCCCCCCCGCGCTATCATAAAAACGTCAATCCTCTCATTAGCTATTGAACTGTTTTGTCTCTTTCTTTAGCACTAAATTCCTAATTTTAAAGAATGTGACAACAAAAAACAGTGTAGTAGTTAAAAATTGATTTGTAGAAGGTTTTAGTTTTAATCAATAAGGGGGTTCTCATAGTTACTGTTTTATATACACTGAATATTTGACATAAAATTTATTTTTAAAATTGACAGATAATGTAAATGTTGCCAGTCTTACGATGTAAACACTGTATTGTACAGGTGATTAGATTTAATCATGGAAGTATCATTTGGGACAATTTCTTTCGATGGTGTTGTCTTCAAATCATTTATAAATCTTCCTATATCATATCGCGAAGATCTCTGTGCGACGCCGGCGAGACAAGCGGCGTTGCTTCGTTCCCCTTCGCACATTTCTGATGTGTCTTATATCACTGGTTATTTTTGTTTTGCAAATTTTTATTCTGTGATATGGTAACATCAGTGCAACTACCACGAACATAATAACATCTACCTTACATCACGAGGCTCTAACTCGCTCGATCCATTACGTTTATATGCGCCATCAGGGTTCATCAGGATTTATTGTCAATTGTCATTGTCCAAATATCATTGTAATCAAATTCAAATATCATTGTAAGTAAAAATAAAATAATGTACCGGTGTAATGAAGAAGATATTATTACATCGTTATACTATAAGTATTTAGGAAACTGAAGAACTCTCTAATGGCATACGTATCTAAATATTACTATATCTATCAAATAAATTTTGAAGGCAAGTTTAAAAAATTTTCATATTTCGCTTGTTCCTTGTTATGTTCCTCGGGGAAAGTTATTCAGTTTCTGAAATGCTGTTTCTGGATTTATTGATACTTTTGTTACACCTTGTATAATACTGTATTGTAAATATTTACGTCAGTTTTTTTACGCGTTTAAAATTCAGAGATGCCCGTCTAGTTTCGAGCTTGACAGGAGGTCTTATTCATGAGCGCGGTACACGACTGTGTCGCTATATATATATATATATATATAGTAAATAATATATAAATAAATAATTACAATACAGTATGACTCAAGGCAATTATTGATCAATTAAATAAATATTACATAGTAATTATGTAAATATTACATTTTTTTAAGTTTTAATCTGCAATGAAATTTAAATGATAAAAAAAAATTCGTATATTGGATTAGAAATGTAATTGTTTTTAAAATGTAATGTTAATAAGTTCAAGTATAGAAGTAAATATAACATATAATTGGTTACTATACATTCCTAATCCAGTAATGTAAATTTCCATTAAGTAAATGCACACTAATGCCGTGACATGTGGCAGCAAAAAACGGTATTTATACAGCCAAAGATGCAGTTATAAGAAACGATCTTGTAGTGGTAGTTTTTTTTTTTATTCAATAAATGTTTTTTTTTTTTTTGTTACACTAATGGGGTACAGTGAAGATTGATGGGTGAGGATGAATAAGTAATTAGATCAGTTGTGCCTTTGCTTGTGATAAATTTACTAGTACATCAGTATTTATTTACTAGTACATCAGTTGATATATATATATATATATATATATATATATATATATATATATATATATATATATATATATATATATATATATCTAGTCATTCATATTATAGCAGCTTTTAACTGTCAACTGTTAAACATAGACTTTGTTTCTTCGTCCATAAGGAGGATTTTGCCAGTGTTCAAAATTAACCTTTTTATATACTTTGACAATTATAGTTTTTTATAAAAAAGAAAATTGATAAAACAATTGCAAATAGAACAAAATATACATAATATACTTCAAGTCAACAGACGGTAATTTTATTTACAATATATTGTAATAAATAATATAATATAAATAATAATATAATTAAATACTAAGAACCAGCACATATTACAAACAGCCAGTAGTTGCCACGCTTAACAGGCGGGTTGGCAATCGCAGTTAGGCTTTTAGTGATGTTTTAAGAGAAATGCTACAGGCTATCTCTCGATCATGAAGTTCCTAGTTTCGTAAGCTGGGAGCACACGGTAAATGTCTAGTAGTGTTAGGTAGGAGATGATTAGGGCAATGCACCTCTGGCTGTATGGTGTGTACCGTTTGTTGTGGTGGTGGTGGTGTGGTGGTGTGGTGTGTGACCGTGCGGCGGCGTGTGACAGGGCGGGGTGCGGCGGCGGCGCGGCGGGCGGCTCGCCGGGCAGCTGCGGCGGCGGCTCGCCGGCGGCCGCCGTGTCCGCGCCCTCGTCGGCCGGCGCGCCGCCGGCCTCGCCGCACCACACCGCGCTGCCCTCGCAGGTACTGCCCAGCGCACGCTGCCTTCACACGTACCTACACCTACCTACATACCTTCGCCGCTAATATACTTTAACATCTTTTCTTTTTTAACATCATTTTGGTCCGCACCGAGTTGTGGAAATACAGGTTCTCACGAATGGCGTTATGTACCCTCAAAATCAATTTTTTTTTATACAACTTAGAATGACAAACAAGCTGACGGCCCGCCTGATGGAAAATGGAACCGTCGCCTATAGACTCGAGCAGTACCATAGACTTAACAGAGTATACTATTTTGCCCATGATACCCCCCATGTGTTGCCATTCCTGAGGACTCGGGTGTTATTCCTCTGTACCCAGTAAATTCATGCCATATCCCACCTTTCAAACCGAAACACAGCCATGCAAACACAACTGCTTCACGGTTGAAACACGAATGGGACAGAGGTACACAAGCAATCGACTTTTGTACAAAGTCTCCCTCTGGTAGATTACTGGTAGTAAATCCAGCTGGCTTAGTATCCCGAGGTCTAAGAGCAGACTTATTAAACAATTCTTCCTTGTGGCGATCAGGGCCGTCATTTTTAAAACTAGAGTCATTTCAATTGCCACTTAATCCAAATAAACATAATTCCATCATATATGGTTTTAATGAAATCAGAATAGCAAACAAGCTCATAATTTGTATTAAAAAATTATAACTCTCGCTGATAAATATTATTATTACTATTTAACTCTTTATTGCATCAAAAATATAAAAATAAACAATGGCATATTAACGATTCAACTGAAATACAGTAGCATGGAGTACAGATTAAAATGTACACATAAAGGTATAAAAGGCGGTCTTATATAAAATTCGTTATCATAGATGACTATAGTATTATAAATTTATCCTCGTATCCAAACAGTCGTGTGAACTAAAATTTCATCCCAACCATCTGGACGAGTGGTGGTCCTCCACCGTGCGTTTTTCAAGGCACTTTCTCCCACGCACAACCACTCTTTGGAATCAACTTCCAGCATCAGTATTTCCGAACCGATACGACGACATAACCTTCAAGAAAAGAGTATATTTTTAAAAGACCGGCAGCACACCTGCAATACCGTAGGTGTTGTGGGTGACCATGGGCGGCGGTAGTCACTTACCATCAGGTGAGCCACATGCTCGTTTGCCCCCTGTGTTGTAAAATAAATTGTTGGAAAGTGTCTCTGCCAACTCACACGACTGTTTGATGATAGAAACGAAGCAACTCAACCAGATATAAATCATCTTAATGCAGTCTCTATCTTAAATAGATAGAGACAGAGTGGGAAATAGCATGATTAGAGAGAGGTGTGGACTGAAAGACAAGTGTAGTAGTGACAAAAATCGAAAAAGCAATGTTGCATTGGTTTGGCCATTAGGAGATGATGTAAGAAAGAAGAGTTACGAAATGAATAGAGATGCCGTTAGGGGCCGTCTTGGAAGAACGAGAATTGATTAAACAGGCGAATGTGCTGTATCCATAATCGGCAAGCGTGTATGAAAATATTGATGCATGTGAAGGAAACAAAAGAAACCTGTTTAAATCGAAACATTTAGCCTTCTATTGTTTCTGCCTAGCCTAATGTGAGACAGGCGTTATAGATATATATGTATATGTGCAGTCTCTTTATAAAAGTATGCAATGTTATTTGAACGTAGAGCGGCGGAGGCGGGCCGGGCGTGCCGCCGTCGCTGCACACGCCGGCGCCCACGCCGGACCCGCTGGCGCCGCCCACGCCCGCGCCGCCCTCCGCGCCAGCCAAGCACTACGCGCAGGTACGCTACACTCGCAACTACCCACACGCTACGCTACACTTTTAGCACCCCTCACATGAGCTATCGCCTTCCATAGACACACATTTTTAACCCGTGCAGCGATCGGCTCTAGGCTAACTCGCTATATCCACTGCGTCACCGATTTTTGAAATAACCAAATTTCGAATACAGATTTATCCATAGATTTTTTTTTAATGGCTGAATATGGAATGATATCCCCGCCTGTGTTTTCGGTATACACTGGCGGGACACCAGTGAGAGGTGATAGATGAAGATGAAAGTAGGTCAGTTAGTCCATCATGAAGAATTCCGCAAGAATTAACCACGATGATTTTCAGGGGAAACCGCGTGGAGGTCGACCTGATAGGGTACATTGCTAGCAATAAATTCCCCGGATAAATTAGTTTATTACCTACATAAATTAATGACCTACATAAATTTAATGAAAACGACGCTGCAAATTCGAGCATTATGCAACAGGCGCTATCGCGTTAGCGCGCGGTACTACATTTTTGTTCGGTATAGCGTATGATGCATAAACGCTCGAGAGGTTAATGTACTACATACTATCACCTTTTTTTATATAATCCCCTTTCCCTATACATACCCCAACTTTCATACATACTCCTTGTATCTACAACTCTATATCACAAAGCCGATCACTGACACTCGGCCCTGAATAAACATTCCTTCTGAATCAGTTTTTTTTGAATGGATGAAAATGGAATGATAACCCCGTCCGCGCTATCGGTATACGCTGGCGGAGCGCCAGTGATAGATGATAGGTGAGGATGAAAGCAGGTCAGTTGGCCCATCGTGAAGAATTTAACAAGAAATTAAGGTGACCTAATTTCTAAGGAGGTGGACCTATTATAAGGTATATAGCTAGTAATGGAGGTGTTAAAATCGACGAGTTGTTGAGTGAGCCGTGTTGCGCGTGTGCAGGGCGACTCGCCGCCGGGCGGCGGGCCGGCGGCGGCGGAGAGCGTGCCGGCGGAGCTGCTGCGGCGGCCGCAGCTGCCGCCCGCCGAGCGCCGCGCCGACCCGCTCGAGGACGAGCACTCGCTGCACATGCTCTACGACTACACCACCGTGCTCGCCTGGTCAGTCACACCACAATAGCACCGGCCTCTACCTCCAAACTGTATTGAATGACAAACAAGCTGACGGCCCATCTGATGGAAAGTGGTAACCGTCGCCTATAGACATGAGCAGTAGCATGGACATAACAGAGTATACTGTTTCGCCCACGATACCCCCATGCGTTGCCATTCCTGAGGACTCTCTCTCTCTCCCACCTCTGTACCCAGTAAATTCACGCCATATCCCACCCTTCAAACCGAAACACAGCCATGCAAACACAACTGCTTCACAATTGAAACACGAATGGGACAGAGGTACCCAAGCAATCGACTTTTGTACAAAGTCTCCCTCTGGTGAGCGTATTTACAATATTTAAACATATTGTGACGAAAGCAATTATTTGTATCTAAAAATCAAAATACAGTATCGATTTAAAAAAAAAATCTATGTATCCAATCTTTAGGTATATGCCTTCAGATAATAAAGAATTTTCCAAATCAGTTTACTACTAACAGAGTTATGAGGCAACAAATATAATGAAAATACAACCGAATTCAAACCTTCTTTTTAAAGTCGGTTGAAAAACAAGTAGAACGAATAAACCACTGTTCTACACATGTATCATGTTATTTTACCTGTACTCATGTCTGTAGGCGACGTTTACCACTTTCCAACAAGTAGCTATAGTTTGTTTTCCATTCTAAGTTACATTAAAAAAAAATCTTGGTAATATATTAACACTTGTAACACGCGTTCGTACTCCATCTATCGTTATGTGTATTTACTTAATTAAGTTCGAAGTATATAGTAAAAAAGTTAGTTAATTTAACTATATATTTTTGAATGGTTAATAACGCTGGAATACATTTGGTTAAAATGACTCATTAAATCTAGAGTGTACTAATAACTGTAAAAGAGTTATTAATAAACTGTATAAAACATATGCGAGCAATTGAACGGATATGTTTACATTAAGTTAAACCAAACGTGTATCTTTAACTCGCAACAACAAATAGCCTGTTAGCGCAACAGCGTCGTTCAAGCGTACGATTGTTGTGTTCGTAATAAGGCCACATCTGATTTGCTTCAATGACTCGTATTTCTTACATTCACTGTATGAAAATAGCGACATCTTAACATATTTTTTAATTTTGGGTCTAAGTGTTCTAGGTTGTTCGCCCAGATACTTATTATACTTGGTTTTTATAAGACACGGTATTCCTACCTTGAAGATCAGGTCATTTAAAAAATAATAGTTCCAATATATGAAAATTTAAAATCAAAATGCACCTTTGTTTTTTTTTTTTATACCACTGAGATGGCAAATAACATATTAAAACTGCATATCTGTAGCGGGTCGCTACTATACTGTTATCGGGCACTTTGTACAGTTAAATGATGTAGTGTTAACTGTGGGTGTTATGTCGGCAGGCTGGAGCATCCGGTGAAGCGGTTCAAGAGTGAGGAGAGCACGTTCCGCGAGGAGTTGGCGCTCGGCGCGGCGGCGGGCGGCGACTTGTACGCGGGCCACGACCATACCAGCATGCCTGCCACCACAGACCACGCGCCGCTAGATGTCAAGCAGGAGAAGCACGACCCCGTCAGTATATTATGTCTATTACTTCTTGTTCTTTTTAAATTGCTGATTTTCAATTAGTAGGCAACGCAAACTAAATAGAATATTAGAACTGTTTCTAAAAGGAGAATAACAATTTGTGTTACTTTTTGGTATCAATCTAAGTAACTTTATTTGAAACATAATATTTTTTTACATTCATAAGACCGTAAATTCGTGTAATTATGCAAATGTGAAAACTGTTTATGGCTCAATATAAATGTAATTGACTATATATCGATTAAATCAGGCGGTGTATTTTCCAAAAAAAAAATCTTTGATTAAATCTTTGAGTAAATTATGTGATGTTTAAAGCGCTGCTAATATTCATAAGCAGCTTTTGTGACTTTCCATCGGTTAAGGGTACATAACTTATATTATACTTGTAATGACTTGCGACTTTTTTTTATTTTAAACAATCTAAATTTTGCTTTTTTTGTTTTTAGGAGGACGTAAAAGAGTACAAAAATTTATTCACATTAGACGGTCTGCATCCAACGCTACGAGATCTGGATCAAATATTTGAAAATTCAGACGACGCGGCCAGTGGCGATGAGACGGTAAGACTTGTGAGTGTACACCCTTCTTTACATTCTTTATATTTAACATTTAAGATTGACCTATTGATTTGAATATAATTAAAATGTATGAAAATTAAAATAAAATTATTCATATAGTCGGTGACTATAAATTTTATATAATACAGTACAAAAATTAACTTTTGTCGTTATATTGCAAGAATTATGGAGCTAAAATATCTAAATGATACATAAGCTTATTTTATGTCTATGAAGCTCGATATGATAAGCTGCATACAGTCTTTTGTAACCATAGAGAGAACTTTGATGCGGCAAATAATGAATTGGACAAATTACGTGCGTGTTACCGTAAAATTAACAATTTTTTATTGAGAAATCCTAAATATTTCAATTAAATGTAATTCCGCGTTCTCTTCTAATTTTGGTGGCATGTGTGAGGCGTGTAGTAAGGCAGTAAAATATCAAATATATTTTAAAAGTTTTAGCAATAGTAGAATTATCTATTTCTATGACAAAGTAGATATATAAATGTTATAAATATAAACGTTTTAGTCGCGATCGTGGATCTGTATTTATAATACTACTAAATTTTTGTTAAATTTTTTATTTTATAATAATATTTTTTAATTTTCATTTTCACCTGTCCATGTAATACTGACGACAAATAAAATGGTTGCTTTTTTATTTTGAATAACATTAATAATTTTTCTCAAACATGCTTGGAAATGTGAGCATTATTGTGACAATCTTCTTCGAGATAAATCAAAATTGCCGTACTGGTCAGGTACACGCGGGCAGCGGCCGGCAAAAGTTGTATGAAAATTCATATCTGTCGTGTTTTGCGGCCAGATAAATTACTATGTAAACTCATATCTGTCCTGTAATTTAAAAATATAATGACCTTTTACTTCGAAACATGGCTCCCAAGAAGGTAACTAATAAAAGCTTTTATTTAAATTTCGAAACGGCTTGCAAATAGAAAGCTGTTTATTGAAAAAAAAAAACAAAGGAACATTATGGCGCGTGAAAATTTATTATTGTTCGTTATTCGTCATTGAACTGAAAAAGTAAAATTGTGTTTTTGATTTTCGCACATTGTTTGAGAAAAGTACTATACTAGCCTTGGCCACAACTAGGCATTGATGGACTCACGTATGTGTGCCTCGGCTACACCTCGGCCCACATTTGCACGTTCGTCCATCAATGCCTCAGTTGCTGGCCGCTGCAGTAATGTACTATAATATCAAAATTTATAATATAATATAAATGTATAATATAAATATTATGAAATTTTGTCAATTCTGTAAGGAGTGTATAGTATGTACATTGTATGAGTATATTCGTTTTGTTATTTTGCTAGTAAAGTAGTTGCATATAGTTTGTGAAATCTCTTGATAGCCCTCTGGATAACCTTGAACATGTTGCAATTATTTTAATAAAAATTAAAACAAATTTAAATTATTAGAGATCCGTCCATGACTGGGCACTAGTCATAGTTGTAACAAATGAGTATGGTAACGAGAGTGCGCGATGGTCCGGCAGCTGGCGGTGCAGACGCCGCCCGACTCGAACAAGTCTGCGGAGGAGGCGCGGTACGCGGGGCGGTGCGTGCGCGCCGAGGAGCTGAGCAAGATGTTCCCGACGCCGCCCAGCATGGAGGCGCACACGCAGCCGTCGCCCGGCTTCACGCTGCCCGACGACGCGCCGCCGCCGCACCTGCACGCGCTGCACGCGCTGCACGCGCACGCGCCCGCCGCGCCCGGCGCGCCCGCCGCGCGCCTCGCCACGCCCGGCTCGCCGCCGCCCGACCCCATCGAGGTCTGACATGCTCCACTACACTCCACTCCACTCCACTCCACTCCACTCCACTCCACTCCACTCCACTTATACACCGATACATATAACACACCAAACTAATATTTCACATCTTGACAAAAATTACGAAAAAAGTCCATAAGTGCATTTAACTTGTATATTTATTTATTATTCACATAGATAAAATGCTGACACTATTTTAAATACTATCCGCCCTTTTTTCCTCTGAACAATTGCTCGATTTGCGTGAACATTAGTGACATGCGATTATATGCGTGTGCGCAGGACTGGTCGTACGTGTTCAAACCGCCGACAATGTACAAATGTGTGGGGTCGTCGAAGTACGCGCCGCTGCCGACGCTGCCGAGCCAGCAGCTGCCGCCGGTGGCGCTGCCGCCCGACGCCGTGTACCGGCCGCGCTGGCAGCTCGAGCCGCCCAAGCGGCCGCGCCCGCCCGACCGCGCCGATCGAGCCGACGGCGCCGATACGCCCGACACGCATCGGACAGGTGATACGCTCATAGTACTCATTGTTAGTTTAAACACGCTGCCTCACCTTACCAAGTTACTATCTTTACTTTGCGGATCCCACTACCGTATAAATATTTACATTCATGAGTTTAGAGAGATTTTTAAACCGTCATCATCATTTTAGTCACTAACTGTCCACTACTGAACATAAGTCTTAAGGGAAGTTTTGTCAGTAGTTGCCACGCTTGGCAGGCGGATTGGCAATCATAGTTAGACTTCGGTATTATGAACGCTGCTAGCCATCCCTCGCTCTCCCATAGTCGCCTCTTACGACATCCACACGAAAGGAAGGCCTAATCTATGCTTGGACCACACGGATAAGATTTTTAAATAGCAATATTAAAACTTAGTTTGATCACTACTAGATGGCGCTATGTGTTACATTTATATTTATTACTGCAAAACGGTATGGAATAAAAAACTGATAATATGCCCAGCTACAAAATATTCACTTTATGGAAATATAAAATTTATAGCAATATATATTAATAAAATTATGCATATTAAATTTTGTGAGTGAATAGAAATAATTAGATTAGTAGTGATATAAATATATATTACAAGTAACTTGTAACTGACTCTCAATTGAATTGACACTGACTTATTAACAAACAAAATTAGAGGAGCGACACATTAACCTTATATGTGCAGTATTAAATTAACAATTATATTTTAATAAACAAACAATTTCATCACTGCACTACACACACAAACATAGATACGTCTGCATGTTGAACATTAGAGCTTATAAACGTACTTGATATTACAGCAGGCGTGAAACGGAGCGCATCACCAGCGGCGGAGTCGCGGGAGGCGCGGGGGCGACGCGCGTGCTCGAATGCGCCCGCGCAGAACGGCGGCGGGGCCCCGGCGGCGGCGGGCGCGGTAGCGGGCGCGGGCGCGGGCAGCGGGCCGGGCGCGGCGGCGGGCGCGGCGGCGGCCCAGTCGCCCGCGTCGGCCGCGCACTCGCCCGCGTCGCCCGCCTCGCCGCGCGCCACGGGCGCCGCCTGCCCGCTGCTGCTCAACGTGCTGCTCGCCGACACCGTGCTCAACGTCTTCCGAGACCACAACTTCGACAGTTGCACGCTCTGCGTCTGTAACGCGGGCCCCAGGGTATGTGTACTCTTGTTTGATTTTGTTGTTTTTTAATATTTTGTAATTGGGGTTTCTGAGTTAATCTTAATATCGTCATCATCTTCCTACCCTAATCCCAAATATTTTTATGTATATTACAAAAAAGATTTAGCTTATGATTTTACGACCGGCCGCCTACCTGACGTCAACCCTCTTTGGGAATGCAGGTGGTTTAAAATTGCTTCATGTGGTAGTTCATGAGGAAAAACTACATAAATATATGTTATTGTCTACTTTTCTAATTAATGAGTAATGTTGTGACGGCAGGTGGTGGGCAACATCCGCGGCGCGGACGCGGCCACGTACCTGAGCGGCGCGGGAGCGGGCGCGGGCGCGGACGAGTCGCCGGGCGGGTCGCCCGCGGCCGCGCCCGCGCCCGCCGACGACGAGCCCAGCCGCTGCACCTGCGGCTTCAGCGCCATCGTCAACCGCCGCCTCGCGCACCGCGCCGGACTCTTCTACGAGGTGATACACTTATATTAAACCATATGTATCCTGAACAATTTTTTAAATATTTAGGACAATTTGCCTGTGTTAAACGACTGAGTGTGCTTGGACTGTACATATTTTATTAGCATCGGCATATAGATCAATTGTGTCTACGAAGAGACATGTTGCAAATTTACAAATTTTTCTTATTTAGTTGCAGAACCGCAACATTTGTGATCATTAAGTTTGTAGTTAATTTCATGGTTCGTTTTTTGCTCCAAAAAAAAATTAGCAATTTTCATAATTTGCTTTTTCGTTTTGATGTATCCCACAAGGGAATTAATTATTCATTTCGGTTATACTATGTTATCATCATGTGATAATATAGTATCTGTAGACTGATATAATGATATGATGTTAGTAGACTTTATTATCTATCTTGGCACTACATCTTTTCATCCTGTCATTTTTTTCCATTAAAAATACTGAAATGTGTATATGTGGTGGTGGTTTCGGTCAGGACGAGATGGAGATAACTGGTCTGGCGGAGGAGCCTCGCGTGGCAGCGGGCGGGCGCGGCGGGCTGGCGGAGGTGGCGGGCGTGGTGGTGGCGCAGTGCGCGGCGCTCGCCGGCGGCGGCGCCTCGGCGCTCGCGCGCGCCGCCCGCCGCCACGCCGCGCCCGCGTCGCCCGACGAGCTGCGCCTCAACCTGCTCGAGTGAGTCGCCGCCACATCTTACAATTCAATACACTACTTCTTCAATTATAAAGACGTCACTCGCAGCAGCACTACATGGAGATGACAATTTTATTTAGACATCCGGCTCGAAGGACTATTAGTCTGTAGTCCTTGTAACAGGATAAATGTGTAGAAGTTTATCCCCGTTTAATATAGCCATTATGTACCAACGATTACATAAATAAATATTTGGCCTTCGTGTATATTATCACGAAAGCCATATGTGAAAAGTGGGGGAACTGTGATATAATTGTGTAATATTATCGTGTAGATACTCTGACGGTGGGACGGCGGCGTCGCGCGCGCTGCGGGCGGCGGGCGGCGGCAGCGGGGGCGGGGCGGGCGCCGTGCACCGGTGGCCCTTCATCGGGGCGCGCGCGCCGCGCTCCTCCAGGGACGTAGTGAGGTACGACGCAAATACACTCGGTTTAATCTGTACGTGATTTATTAATGAGTATTGCTGTTGTATTAAATAAATGTTCTGTAAACTTCGATAGATTAATGCGTCGACTGCGTCCCCTTCTCCAAGACGCGATACAAAAGCGGTGCTGCGGCGCGCGCATGTGGGACGGAGTGACGGGCCCGCTGACGTGGCGGCAGTTCCACCGGCTCGCCGGCCGCGGCAACGAGGATCTCTGTGAGCCCCAGCCCGTGCCGCCGCTGCTCGTCGGCCACGATCGCGACTGGATCTCGCTTTCCCCGTACGCGTTGCGCCACTGGGAGCGGCTAGCCCTCGAGCCGTACTCGTACGCGCGCGATGTCGCCTACGTGGTACTGGCGGCCGACGGCGACGTACTAACCGACCCGCTTCGCACGTTCTTCCGGGAGCTGTCGGCCGCGTATGAAGCGCTCCGGCTCGGCCGCCACCACCCGGTGCACCGGATCGCGCGCGACGGTATCGTGCGCGCCGGCTGCGAGCGCGAGCGCGACACGAGCGACGCAGAGTGCGAGGAGTGGGCGGGCGAGCTGCCGCCCGGCCGGCTCGGCGAGTACGTGCGCGCGTACGCGGACGCGCTGCGCACGAGTCTCGTGCCGGCGCTCGCCGCGCTCACTGTCGACCGCTCGCTCTTCGAGAGCGACCGCTCGTCGCCGATGCGGCCGCCGGCCACGCCCGAGCACCCGGGCACGCCGGGTGCCGACGGCGACGAGACCGGCGCGGGCGGCGGCGCGAACGCGAGCGCGGCCAATGGCGGCGGCGCGAGTACGACGGGCGGCGCGGCCAGCGCGTGGGATGACGATGAGAACGGCGCGCCGGCGCTGGTGCTGTACCTGGTGGAGCCGCCCGCCGCGCACGCGCAGCGCCCGCGCGCGCTGCACGCGCTGCTGCGGCTCGCCACGCGGATTCACCATCACTTGCGCCACCACAATCCATTAATTAAGGTGAATTTTATTAATATTCATTGAGACCGTAAGAAAAATTTATATTATTTTTTACACTATGAACTAAACAACGGTACTACCGAAATAAATATTAAACTCCGATTTAGTTTTTGATTACTTACTAACTAAATTATCTATCGATACATTGACGAGTATATGGAACAAATGTAAAAATGGAACACTGCGATAGATCATCTCGCTGGAGGGCGTGTACGAGACGTGGGCGCCGGGTCCGAGCCCGGGTCCGGGCGCGGCCGTGGGCGGCGGTTGCGTGCCGGAGCTGCGCGCGCTGGCCTTCAGCGTGTTCAGCGGCGCGCGCCGCCTGCTCGTGCACGCCGCCAACGGCAAGACACTCACCGGCTTCGGCACTGCCGCCGTCGCCAACCACTTTATCAATAACAAAGACGTGAGTTTCAATAATTTCATTGTCTACATTTAGGATTTTTACCCATACTCGTTATCCGGCTTGAAGGACACACTCGTTATCCGGCTTGAAGGACTATAAACAATATGTAGGAATTCTCCAACTACTTGAAGTAACAATTTCATTGCCGTTATATTATATAGGCATTATAATATTATATTATTGAATTTACGTGAATTTGAATTTATGTTTAATAATATTCAATCCAAATTTACTATTACATTACATACTTACGTAAAAATATAGTTGTTTAATAATATATGTTTCGCAATAATTCTTATTTAATGATATATCTTGTATTATTCTTATTCTAATTGAAGTTTTTTTCAATGTTTAAGTGCTTTCAAATTTTTTAATTACTATTGTAATTAGACACCTGTAGTTTGTATGAGGAAACCAGTTTTTTTTCTACTTGAAACTTATGTGCATCGTATGAGTGTAGTGTAGTAACGGAGGCATGGAACGTGGTGCTGCAGGAAAAGAACAAGGCGCCGTACAAGCTGTTCTCGCCGGCGTGGGTGCTGGCGCCGCCGCGCGCGCTGAAGGAGGTGGCGGAGACGTGGGGGCAGGCGTGCGGCGAGCAGGGCGCCGTGCTGTTCGTGGCCTACTGCCTCTCGCACGACCAGCGCTGGCTGCTGGCCGCCGCCAGCGACGCGCGCGGCGAGCTGCGCGACACCGCCGCCATCAACATACACGTGCCCGCCAGGTGCGCACTACACACCGCACCGCACCACACCACTCACACCGCACCGCACCACACTACTCGCACCGCACCGCACCACACCGCACTACTCACAACACACCACACCACACTACTCGCACCGCACCGCACCACACCGCACTACTCACAACACTGCCCACCAGACAACTTGTCAATCAATCCATATTTACACTAACTATCCCACATATTAGTCATTAGTCATTTATTCAAAAAGCATAACATTAAATTGAATATTACAACCATGCAATAACAATAATAATAAACTTTAAAAATTAAGTATTTTATAGTAAATCAATAATCAAAACTATATAACTAACCTATTGCCAATTCAACTTGCTTATTCTTCACATTATATTGATCATTTCGGTTCTTCTGCGAAAATCCTCATTTTAGATTCTGTCACGAAAAGAAACTACTCTCTCCATAGCTCGCTGCGTAACTTGAAACTTTTGCATACGGGCAACCTTATAGGACCATATTTTGTTTGTAGCTCATCACTGGCAACATGCACTGATGAAAGATCTTCGTCTTCACACTTTGAAATATTTTGAATGATAGTAGTTTCCCGAAAGCAGCTCGATTGGTTGCTACATGGTATGTTTAAAACGTACAATGTGTACGGCAGGTCACGGCGGCGGCGCTGTGGGCCGGCGCGGCGGCTGGGGCTGAAGAAGCTGATGGACTTCACGCTGGGCGTCATGAGCCAGGCCGCGCAACCTTGGCGGCTCGTCGTCGGCCGCGTCGGACGCATCGGACACGGGGAACTTAAAGGTACGTGCCTCGTTGTATTCGCTTTATGGGTTATTCGGCAATGAGTAAAATTTAAATTATAATGTTCAATGTAGATAGTTAATTATATATATATATATATATATATATATATATATATATATATATATATATATATATATATATATATATATATATATATATATATATATATATATATATATATATATATATATATTATATTATATTATATCTATATATATATATATATATATTTCGTTTTATAATATATTAAATATATTAAGTCATTTTGTAATAAAAAAAACGGTCCTTGGAATGAAGATTTTTGTTCTGATATCAAATCGTCATAGTTGTACAATACTGACGGATCTGACAAATATTACATATATAGATCCGTCACTATTCTACGACTATGACGATATTATAAATTTATTTATTTTAATTTTAAAGATTGGTACCGTAGAGTCGTATCGTATTAGTTGTCAGCGATGCTTGTACTAGAGGATTAATGGTTCCAAATAATAGATTGATATACGTACCAAAAAATATATAGTGATTTATAATTTTAAAAATGATAAGAGAGTTTTTAATATATAAAGTATTTAAATTGTTTTTTAAAAGGAATTTTGTAAGCTTTATATTTTTTTCGATCGACAAGACTTATTTCCGTAATAATAAAATGTGACGCATAATTAGTATGTGACGACTAAAACTGTTTTTGACTGATACTTTAAAGATCGAAGCACTACTTTTTGCGGAATAAAATCAACATGCCACTTTTCTATTGTACTCGTAAGTTCCGTAACATGTGGTTAGTGGGCGTATGCGTGTGACAAGAGACAAGTGTACGTGGGTGTAGTAACGTAAGCGTGTGCACAGGCTGGAGCTGGCTGCTGTCGCGCAAGCACCTGTGGCGCGCGTCGATGTCGCTGCGCGAGCTGTGCGGCAGCTGCGCCGCGCTGTACCCCGCCGCGCCGTGCATCCTGTCCGCCTGCCTCGTCTCCACCGAGCCCGACTCGTGCCTGCGCCTCATGGCCGACCGCTTCACGCCCGACGAGCGCTTCTCGCAGGCCTCCATCCACTCGCACCTGCACACGCCGCGCGACGTCACCGCCACGCACATACTCGTCTTCCCCACCTCCGCCACCACGCAGGTACATACACTATGTGCATATACAAAAGGTGGCCTTATCGTTAAAAGCAATCTCTTACAGACAACCTGGCATAAATAATGGATAAGTACAGAGAGAAAGGTAGATGGCGCAAGTCAGACACAGTAAATACAAAAAAGAAATCAAACGAAATGCAAAATATTCTAAATATCATTTATATAAAAATATCATTTACATAAATATACTAAATAGATCAAGGTAAATCACACGTAGTAAACGTCAAAGCAAATTAAAGAAATAGGTAATGAGATCCGTTATTTATTAATATATAGATAATTTAAAAAAATATTATATATTTCAGTCAAACCAAATGCCATTCGAGCCACAAATGGCGAACGGCGAGGACAACGACATGATGTTCCTGAACGTGGACATGGGCGACGAGGATATGGGGGAGGACAACATGGCGGACCTGCTGATCGGCGACATGTTCAGCAACATGTGGGCGCAGAACAGTCCGCGCAACTCGCCGCGCCGCAACGACGACGACCCCGCCAGCCCCGCCTGCCCGCCGCACCACGTGGCCGCCTGCCACCACCAGGACGACCTCTCCACGGTTGGTACACGCACACAAGCACACGTACACACACCGACACCGACACCAACTGATACACTACACGTACTTTATATATGATACAGTGACGACGAACAAATAGTGTGTCTGTACTAATATTATAAAAAGATTTCATTGTTTGTTTACAATGGATGAATTAAAAACTAATCGACCGATTTTAATAATTCATTCGGCTATAGAAAGCTGTTATCAATGAATAATATAAGTTACAATTTAGTTTTAAAAAATCTACTTGCCATTCGAAGCTGGGTCGGATCACTTAGTCATTTTATAAAGTCGCAGCATAATATCATGAATTGTCCATTGTTGAAAATAGGCCTCTCCCTATAAACCCCCCTGTTTTGCCAGTAGTTACCACGCTTGGCGGGCGATTGACAACCGCAGTTAGGTTTTGGAGATGTTTTAAGAGGTACACTCTTGCCCAGCCCTCGTCCTCTCTTAGTCGTTTCTTCCGACATTCACGAAAAAGGAAGGGGTGGCCTATTCTATGCTAGGAGCACACGATGTAGCCTATATGTTATTAATGAATTCAGTGAAGTGAGTGAGTACAATGTGTCGTTGGATAATAATGGAATGGTAACCCCGCCTGCGCTATCAGTATACACTGGCGGGGCATCAGTGAGGGTTGATAGGTGAGGATGAAAAGGCAGGTCAGGTAGCCTATCGTGATGAATTTAATGATAAATTAGTCACGATGGTTTCCAGGTGGAACCGCGTGGAGGTCGAGTTGATAAGGTATATTGATAGTAATAGGGAGTAACCTCCGCATTAGTAAGAATGGGTCGGTTGTGTTGCGTGGTTGTACAGGAGCAGGTGGGCACGGTGCTGCAGCAGCCGCTGGCGCTGGGCTACATGGTGTCGACGGCGCCGCTGGGCGCCATGCCGGCGTGGTGGTGGGCCGGCTGCACGCACCTGCGGGACGCGTGCCCCGCCTTCCTCAAGAACGCGCTGCACCTGCACACCGGCAACGTGCAGGCCGCCGACGACTTCACCTCGCTCACGCAGCGCCGCGACCACAACTCGCACCCGCTCGACTCGCAGACCACCACCGACGTGCTCAGGTAACTAACAAACGTTATATGTCAATACAGTGAACGCTCTATATAAACAAACTCTCTATAAGCAATTCTACTCAGCTTAGTTAGAGAGGGAGACTTTGTACAAAAGTCGATTGCTTGGGTACCTCTGCCCCGTTCGTGTTTCAACCGTGAAGCAGTTGTTTGCGTGGCTGTGTTACGGTTTGAAGCGTGGGATATGGCGTGAATTTACTGGGCACAGAGGAATAACATCTGAGTCTTCAGGAATGGTAACGCATGGGGAGTATCATGGGCGAAACAGTATACTCTGTTATGTCCATGGTACTGCTCATGTCTATAGGCGACGGTTACCACTTTACATCAGGTGGGCCGTCAGCTTGTTTGCCATTCTAAGTTATCTAAAAAAAAAGAAATAAGTAAACATATTTTCAGATGGTAAGTATTTTTATACTTCTTTTTCCCCTATAAGTAACTTTTCCCAATAAGATTTTTTTTTTTATTGAAAGTGGTTTAAATGAGTTGCTTGTATAGAGCGTTCACTGTATGTATACTCTACATACATAGGGTATATGTTATTTAACTTTTTATTTCCCACAAAAAACTGACTTTAATCGTCAAATAACCATTTTATTTTAATTTAAAATTTAATTTCCAAATCGATTTGATATTATTTCTATTAGATTATTCTGAAAGTATATAATATCAGATAAAAAAAATTCTATGAAAAAAAAAGTTATAAGGTAACAAACAAAAGGAATACAATTGAATTGATATCCTCTTTTTTTTCAAGTTGGATAAAAAAGTTTAACATAAATTTGTACTATATATATGGTTATTATAGTGATAGTGCAGCATAGCATAGTATAGCATAGCATGCGTATATAATAATGGGGGGCGGTGACAGGTACGTGCTGGAGGGGTACAACGCGCTGTCGTGGCTGGCGCTGGACGGCGCGTCGGACCGGCTGTCGTGCCTGCCCGTGCACGTGCAGGCGCTCATGCAGCTCTACCACACCGCCGCCGCGCTCGGCTGAGCCACCACCTCCATACAAGCGTGCCGGGGGACCCCCGGGACACCTCGCGGCACCGCACCGATCCAAGATGTCCAATTATAAATGAAACTAGCCACAATGCTAGTCTTCACAACACAACATGGTCCAATTTGGCATATTAATGATTTTTCTAAAATTTATATATTATTATAAATATCGTACCACGTACACCGAGAATATTTCTCACTGAGGGCATTTCATTACTGTTTGTATGGTACTCCGTTTGCGCATATGAAAGCAACCACTTCCATTATGTCTTTCTCTACTTTCGTACTTCCTGATCTCTCTCCACATCTCACGAACCTCATTTACTCTAGTTTAGACTAACCGCAACAAACAAACGGAATAAAATGCAATGAGCTGATTATATTTATGACCTGTATTGTTTTATATAGATAATTTATTACTTATCTCTCATAAGAAACATGTTATAATTTCGGCCATACCTGTATTACTCTATCCTGTGTACCAATAGTCTGGTCAATTTAGACGTTCGAAGTTACCTAAATTCCCACCATGCTGAAAATCAGTAACATTGTTTAAAATATGATTCATAATAAAATTTTAAAGTTCCCCATCTTTCCCCTGTATGAAAAAAAAATTCAAGTATTTATTTAATATACAGGGATTAGTTTAACAACTTGTAAACAAGGGAGAGCTTATCTCTAATAGATCTCTTCCAACCAACTCAGTGTAGTTATTTTGCAATAGTTTCAGATTAAACAGGATCACAACTGACACGTGGAATAGGCCTACTAGGGAAACCACGTTAAAAAAAATGCGATAAGACCTCATAGGTGGCGTGATAACATGAGCATTTTTTGACAATTATAACTTTTACGACTTTTTCAATTGTTGTGAACATTTTTTTTGACGATTACAACTTTTACGACTTTTTGAATCGTTATATCTCGAAAACGGTGACTCGTAGAAAGAAAAAGTATTGATACATTTTTTTTTGTAGATATTTTTATGATCTACAATTTTTGTCTGAAGTATTTTTATGATAAAACTTACCGTTTTGCTGAAAATCGTGAAAATCTAATTTTTTTTTACCTTTGATTTTGAATAATATTTTTTGCATACAGGGGAAAGATGGGGAACTTTCAAATTTTATTATGAATCATATTTTAAACAATGTTACTGATTTTCAGCTCGGTGGAACTTTAGGTAGCTTTATTTTTATTTTTGGTCTAATTTGACCGGAATAAATATGACAAAACTATTGTAAAACTATTCCATAGTGGAGGATTGAAGAGCAATATTGTTAAGACATTAGTCGTCTATCGATAGGATGTCACAAGTTATCTATTGCAATTGTAATATTATTATATTGTTGTGCTAATGTATAAATGAAATATATTATTTTTATTTTACGTTATTATGTTAAACCGGTACGAATTACCAAAGGAGTTAGATATGTGTAATTTTGTAGATATTTTAACACCATCACAGCCGGTGGACAATTCCACATGGTTCTCGTTTTGTCTCAACGCTGTCACTTACGTATAGCAACACTTGTGTTACTCATATTTTAATGTATTATTATTTTTTTATAAGCATTTTTTTTACGTTGAAGTAAAATAAAATAATTTTCTACCATTCTATTTCGAGCTCGATTTGTGAGCGCGGAACGCGTAGTATATACAATTTAGCGACAAATATATTAGGCGAATTGACCATTGTCTTAGTATTCGGGTTTATTAACTCATGTACAGTTTTATACGAGGGAACAATAAGCTCAACCGGGCGCCGCCGCCGGGCCGCCGGGCCGCCGGGCCGCCGGGCCGCCGGGCCGCCGGGCCGCCGGGCCGCCGGGCCGCCGGGCCGCCGGGCCGCCGGGCCGCCGGGCGCCGGCCGCGCGGCCTCCACCACTGCCACACTCGCTCGTACCGGGAGTCCAACGTCGGCGGCGCGCCGCCCTGCGTCCTAGCACACGTAGGATCATCTTCTTATGATCAACATGAACCTCCGATCGGATACCGATTAGTAACACCAATAGTCTACGGTTAGTTTAATAGCTGTAACGACGGGCCCCCTAGATCATGTTTGAGAGTAGCATTTGTATAATTAGACATTGCCGTTTTATAAAAATATAATAGGAGCGGCCGGCCGCAACGCTGATGTTGCCTCGCCGTATCTCCGACAGTTTAGTAGTTATATGAAATTTTCTATTTTAATATATTATAAAAGCGTAAGCAGTAGGTGTGACGTGAAGTGAACTTGTAAATAAGCCCGACGCGTGACGCGGATCGTGTGGTTATCATGTACTTTATATTTTGTCCACGTACACGTTTTCTTTTTTTATTTATATACTTTTGACTGAGTTTTATCAATGTTAAAAATTAGTTTACTGAACAAATCATTTGATATCGAAATTGTTATTATTTTTTTGTTGCTTAGTACACTATTATTTGTATATTGTATTGTATGAGGTGTTGCGAGCGACACGAGCGCCGCCTGGTGTCGGAGGTGGGACGACGTGCCGCCGCCGGCGCACGCTGTGTACGCAGCAGTAGGTGCGGTGCGCCTAGTTGTAGCGGCGGCGAGTCGCACTTTAATTGAATTAATGCCTAGTTGAATATGAAATGTTTTAAATGTGTTACAGCATTTGAGAATATTTAATGATGTTGTATATAGTTTATATTTTGTTTTGTAAAACATATTGTACATAGTGTCGCGTAGTGTCCGATGGATGGAGTTAGTTACTTGCCCACATCGCCTGTGTATAAATAATGGAGCACGTTTTAAAGGAACCACTCGTAATATTATTTTGTACAGTTGTTAAGCGAGATTCGTAGTTGAATTAATTATTATTAGGATTTCGTTTTTGACCTCCTTTTGTTATTGTGAATTTGTCAATTTTTTTTAGGGAATTGGGAATCGTACTGTACATAGAGCTCACCATTTTGTCAAATATTAGCCGTAAGCCGTCGAATCGGATGATTGTTGTGGAAATCAAATTTTCTAAATGAAGCAATCATTAGACATTCAAAATTAGAATAATACTTGATATTAATATAACTTTATAAATAACTGTGAAAATAGATAATAATAATAATGAATAAAATATTACATATTTAATGTGGTTGTTTTATTTGAATTATTGAATTTGATGTGGTTATAATCAATAACTGAGTAATACGCTTACGTACGGTACGTCAGTAACATCTTCATATATATTTATATATATATGAAATTATACATATATATGTATAATTTCATATATTTATGTTTGATAACTACTATAGATGTTTTACATAAACAGAAAGCACTATGTAATGAATGTATTTAGGGCAATATCGTTATCATTAGCTTAACATACGCCGGCAGCACACCTACAATTCCTCTGGTGTTACGAGTATCTATGGGCGGCGGTAGTCCCTTACCGTCAGGTGAGCCGCATGCTCGTTTGCCCTCTATGTTATAAAAAAAATGTTGATGTGTAAAACTTAACATTTCCCCAAATAAATATAGATGGAAAATAAAAAAATGCGCCGTGCTAATATGGTGCGTCCAGTTATCGTATTTTATCGTAGTCATTTGGAGCAATAATAATTATAAATTATTATTACTTGAAACAAACAATAAATCTATCGTAGTTTTAAAAAAAATTCACCACAACAATAATCAATGATTTTTTTATTTTATTTAACAGCTTAGCATTTTTTATTCTAACGCTATGCAGATCCAACGTCAGGATTTGGAATCAAGATTAGATTAGGGAAAAATTTATAAAGAAACAAACTACACGAATTCATTATCCTTCTATATATTAAAAGTATTATCTTGACTACAGATTTAATTATAACAAAATAATAGATTTACAAATATCATTGCTTATTTTTTAATAATAAATAATTCTAAAAATTATAAAAAAATATTTGCATTAATGCTTACTCTGAGACATTTAATAATAACAATATCAATAATAAGCAATCAATAGTAATGTTTAAAACATAAGAAATTGACTAGTAATTTATTAATAATAGAAACAAAAACCTATTTGACCTAATTACAAAGAGTATTATTCATTCATGAACATGGAATAATTCAATATGTTTTTTCACTTATCCCTTATCCATAAAGGTCAATCTTATTTTAATCATAGCAATAAAAAACTATATAACAATATAACTGTACTGTACATTACAATACAATAAAGATTCTCATAAATAATTAGTATTTTAAAAAGTGATTCACAATCACTTGCTCACCATTTATAGTAAGGCTACAGAGAACATTATAAACTATACACCCTGAATAACTTAGGACCTTTCTTTCTTCTGAACGATTTGTTATTCTTTCTAATTGTATAAAACAATCTCACCCTTACAAATAACATCTTCAAATAGTCTATAGGAAAGCAAGGGCAAGGAGAGTCGAAACTGTACATTTTTAATTCCTTCAGTATTTCTTGCCCTATGCTTGTAATTTGTAAGTGTGATTGGAAATATTCTTTAAACTTATTCTCTAATAGCATTAAAAACTCAGTAAAACTATCTGGTGGGAGTATTTTGCAGTTTTTAACATTTATCTGCAATCTAACACTGCACAATCTGGATTCCTCCTCATCGTCCGACATTGCTCTGTAGTGTTTCAAGTATACTTTTAATTTATCACAACAGTGGTGCTCTAAACATTTCAAATAACAATAACCACAGACATACACAAATGCATTCTTATCTGGCAGCCCTATCCTGTAGTCTGTGGTGAAAATCTTTAAAGGTTTGTTAACATTTTCATCAGACTCCTTACAGTCATCTGTATTAAATAGTTCATCTGAAAACTTTTCCATTTCAAAGGAAGTAGCTAAACTATATTTTTTTGACCCTAGCGGTCGCAGTAACATGTTACCAACAAATTTCCTAACGAAACATTTGTTGAAATCCCTAGCAGTACATTCATCCTTCCCTCCGAGCTGTTTTACTTTTTTGAAAAAAATATGTACTTTATTATGATTTAAACGGTTCGTTTTCAAGAAACTTATACCTATACTGTTCAAGTCGTGGTACAGTTGCATTACAGAATTAATTGTTATCTGGAAGCCTTCTATAAACTTCATATTCTGTGTTACATCTGCACCATCGAATTTCCTTACAACTTTTAATGTTTGAAATATTGAAACCATATTTTCCATGAAGTTTGCTTGTACTTGTGTATTTGTATATGCACTTTGATGAGGCGATTCAGCATTCAAAAAGCTACATAGATCGTTCAACATTTTGCAAAAGTCCATTGTGTCCACACTACCTGTAGTTTCCCCGTTATGATAAAAGTCACAAGATTTCAAATTATTTCTAATTACTCTAAGCAACTGTAATGTATCATATATATAAAAAATATTTCTGTTATTCAATAAAAAATAAGGTTTGTCTGGTGTGACAGACCGGGACTCTGAAGCATATAGAAACTCAGATCTTGGATCTGACACAAATGTTCTCACATCTAAACCTATATCAATTAAAGCTGCAATCATATCATCAATCCACACAGACACTTCTGGGTAATAGTCATAGTCTGATATGAAAGAATAAGCTATGGGCTGTATCCAATCTTCCACTATGCCTTGTGCCATAAGAACTATCCCATATTTGGCCAATTTAATGCTTTGGTTTCCATCAACATCATGCAAGCCTATAATTCTATCTGATTTAATATCATAATATAAGTTTGGCTTGAGAAACATGCTGCTAACAGAAATGCTACAGATCTTTTCATTTTCAGACATACAATTAACTTTGCTTTTCATAGCTTTCAGAAGATCACTGGACAATCTAGTGGTTTTTGGAACAAGAAAATATTTCAAATCATCAACTGTGGGTAGACTCAACATGTTCCTTAACATTTCATATGAATTAGGACTAGAATAATATAAGTTAATTGAAAAAAGACTCATTAAATTGACTCTATTCACATTTTTGTCGCTACTAAGATGCCATTTTATATATGTTGACATGCCTTTAGGTAAAAATTTGTCACACATTTGTATAAACAATGAGTTAGTACCACTCATTTCAATTTTTCTTTTCTTTGTAGAGAGATCAGTTTCATATTCAATTTTTCTTCTGTTGCTGTCAGGAGTTTGGGTCCCTTTTGATACTTTAATGACACTTTCACAAAACTCTGACAGGTCAGTACAGGGCGGTGGACTTGGAGTACTTCTTTCACTTACAGTGGGCATTTCATATGACTCAAAATGGTTCAGCTGTAACACTGGATGATATTCATTATAACTATCAGATAACAAATCTGGTGGATTAACAAAATTGTTATATCGGACAGTGTGAGGACTCTCCAATCGAAGTGTAGGGAAAGCATTTTTTGTTAAAAATTTCCTGCCCTCACAAACTACTGATCGTCTCACATATTTGTCTTCGAAATGTGCTTCACATATCCGGTGATTGCCTCTGGTTTTGTTATTATCCAACTTATCTAATAAATCTAGCCGATCAACTGCTTTGAGCCACTCGTACCTCCTGAGGAAAATAATAAAACAGAATTTAAACAAGTATTTAGAAATAATTTAAATAAAATTTGATAAATAACTTATCAAATTAATTATTATGATTTCCTAGTTCCCAGACAACTGATTCAGTTTCAATTCTAAGAATGAAAATTAATATAAATTTAGTTAAACAATAAATTTATTGATATTACCGTTCAGGATCTCCTGGATATGTGAAGAAGGACAAGTGCCTGTTAAGATAAGAGCAGTTTTTACACACTGTACAAATCTTTCCAACCATTTTATAGAGATACGTAAGATGATAGATAATATTAACCAAATCTGTTTAACATGTTGCTTTGATTTTAATATACTAAATTATATATTTTTTTTATTCTTATTCATGAATATATATTACAGAATTACAAAATATTACAGAATTCATTCTAAAATTCGGCATTCGGCCAATCGGCAAATTTATGACAGTTATATGTCATAACTGACAAACGACTCTGACATTTAAAAAGAATGCCACATTAGGCAGCATGGTCTCCGACCTTAGCCTGTTCCAAACGGAACAAACGTACTAAAAAAAAAAAAAGAATGCCACACAGGTACTAATCCTTAATTTATGTCAGAGATCTAAAATCCATTAACTACACAGTAGGCGATATCTTTAATCGATGTCATACTTTTCTACACCGAGTTCCAATTAATATTGACTAATCTTTCCATAATAAAGTAATAATAATAATAATAATAAATAATAATAATAATAAATAATAATAATAATTCTCCGCCGCCTGGATAGATTATAAAAAGGCGTTCGATTCCGTGCCCCATTCATGGCTCCGGAGGATACTCGAGCTGTACAAGATCGACGGTACAGTTCGAGTGTTCTTGGAGGCATGCATGAGGCAGTGGACGACGATCCTGACTATCCAGGGCGAGCGATTGACGGATACCGCTGACCGGATAGAGATAAAGAGAGGAATATTCCAGGGCGATTGTTTGAGTCCACTTTGGTTTTGCCTGTCCCTGAATCCACTCAGTACTTTACTGGAGAATTCGGGGACTGGATTTCAGTATCGGAGAGGAGGTACACGAGTGTCTCACCTTCTGTACATGGATGACTTGAAACTGCTAGCTCCGAGCGTCGAACGCCTGACGGAGCTGCTAAATATCGTAAACGATTATAGCAGCTCTATTAGGATGGCGCTCGGAATAGACAAGTGCGCGGTCCTCCATGTGCAGAGGGGACGGGTCACTCAAACTGAAGGGATCGCCACAGATCCCTCTAATATTAAAACCCTCTCCGAGGCTGAAACATACCGGTATCTGGGCATGTCACAAAACATCGGTGTGAAGGAGACGGATATGAAACAGTCAGTCCGCGAGGAATTTTTTGCGCGCCTTACAAGAGTACTGAAAAGTTCTTTGTCGGGCGCCAATAAAATCCGAGCTTATAACGGCTGGGTCATACCCGTACTCCTTTACACTTTTGGCGTGCTCAGATGGTCTCAAACCGAACTCGAAGCCCTGGATCGGAAAGTCCGCACAACTATGACCCTCCATAGAATGCATCACCCGAAATCGTCAGTCATGAGGCTGTATATCCCGCGGAAAGCTGGTGGTCGAGGCTTGTTAAGCGTTAAGACCATGCACAACCGCGAGATTGACAGCCTCAGGACATATTTTCTGGAGAAAAGAGACGAGGGTTTGCATAGAGAGGTCATAGAATGTGACAAAGGATTCACCCCTCTTTCTCTGGCTAAAGAGGACTGGCGAAAACCCGAAGTTTTGAGTACCTCTCAGCGGGAGGCCGTATGGAAAGAGAAGGAGTTGCACGGAAGGTTCTTCAAAGCCCTTCACGGGCCGTACGTAAACACGAAGACCTCCGTGCACTGGCTACAGTTCGGTGATCTCTTCGGAGAGACCGAGGGTTTTGTCTGTGCAATACAGGATCAGGTGGTTAAGACGAACAATTACCGAAAGCACATTCTGAAGGATGGCACTGAGGACATCTGTCGAGCATGTCGCCATCCTGGAGAGTCACTCAGACATGTGCTTTCGGGTTGTTCAGCTCTTGCCAACACAGAGTACTTGCACAGGCACAACCAGGTAGCCAAAATACTCCATCAAGAGCTAGCTCTGAAGTACGGCCTCGCGAATGAGAGGTTGCCGTACTATAAGTACGAGCCACAGCCGGTCCTCGAAAGCGACAGCGTCAGGCTCTACTGGGACCGATCCATCATCACGAACAGGACTGTTCTTGCGAACAAACCTGATATCGTGGTGATGGACCGAGCACTTTCGAGGGTGTTTTTGGTGGATGTCACCATACCGCATGACGAGAACCTCGTGAAAGCCGAAACCGAGAAGAAGAGAAAATATCTCGACCTGGCTCACGAGGTGACCGAAATGTGGGGGTGACATCTACCGAAATCATCCCAATCGTTATGTCGGTGAACGGTCTTATCCCAACCAGTCTGGAACAACATCTCAGACGGTTGGGATTCCGAGGCGGCTCACTCCCGGGAAAGATGCAGAAAGCGGTGCTCTTAGATTCTGCCCGCATTGTACGCCGGTTTCTCTCCCTGGGGCCCTGAACCCCGGCCGACTGTGCTTCTGCCGGGGGTTAGTTGCCATCTCCTCTCCTTAAGAGGGGAGATGAGAATTTTGGTAAAATTTAAAAATAATAATAATAATTCTTTATTTGGAACAAAAACAGTAGTTACAATATTATTGAAAAACGATGATATCCGCAGAAGTATAAAACTGTGTTGCGAATATCAACGCCCTCCTCCTCATTGCAGGATTCCAAAACAGACATTTATGGTAGCTAGATACATCAATAAAGACATTTTGTTATATTTAGCAACCAACTACAATACTAATAAACTACAATAATTAAAAACAATATATATAATTTAAATACAGTAGCCTACATGTTAACTTAAAAACAAAAAAAAAAAACAAAAAAAAAGTGTGTGTGCGTAAATGTGTGTGTGTGTTTGTGTGTGCGTGTTGCGTGTGTGCTTGTGTGTGTGTGTGTGTGAACGTGTGTATGAGTGTGTGTATCTATGCAGGTGTGAAAAAAATTGTAAATTCATTCGGAAAATTTAATACGATCTTCTGTATCATCATAAGATAAGGATTGGAGAAATTTTAAACATTTATCTTTGCATTTATGGTAAGGTAAAGGATATATATCTAATTCTTTGTTTAATCTATTATATAGAGAGGAACTTATATGGTGATAATGTCGGCTCGCTATAGCAGTGCGTCGAGGTTCAATTTTACAAATTTTATAAGATTTACGCTTCGAATTTATCAGGTTTACTTCATACGGTATTTCAGAATGCTTACGTAGCATAGTATTTAAAATAAATAGTTGTCGAACAGTTAAAACCCGACAGAGCACATACAGTTCCATAGTAGGGAATAAAACTGGTTTTTTAGCCAAAACTTTCAAAACAGCTCTTTGAGCCCGTTCAAGCTTCAGCAATACTGTTTTAACAGCTCCACCCCAGGAGGTGATACAGTATGTTATTATAGACTGTGCGAGTGCATAATAGACAGTTTTTAAGGTGTTGAAATCCATGACACCTCTTAATCTCTTAAAAACAAACATCAACCTTCTTACGCGGGAGACGGTACAATCAACATGTTGCCTCCACGTCATCGAACCGCCCAACGTTACCCCAAGATATTTTATACTTGTAACACGTTCCACGGATATACAATTGCAGGGATTAAGAATTGTTGAAGTTGGACAAAGATGTGGACGAATCGAAAATGCGGAGGAAGGCCGAGAGATACTATTTATAGAGAAGGGGATAAATTTTGTCTTTAAGAGATTAAGTGTAAGAAGGTTTGACTGAAGCCACCTCATGACCTGCCTCATTGCATTCTCTGAATGCATTTGTGTCTCCATCCAGTCATGTCCACTGATGAGGAGAACTGTATCATCCGCATAGGTAACTATTTTGCAGTTTTGAATAGTCAAATTACAAAGCTCATTAATATAAATTAAAAATAAGGTAGGCCCTAGAACACTACCCTGAGGAACACCATAACTGATATATTCATCTTCACTTACATAACCATCAATAGTTACACACTGAGTACGGTTTGTAAGATAGCTTCTGAACATATCAAGAGCTATACCTCTAACACCTACACTTTCTAGTTTGCCAAGCAAAATAGGAATAGAGACAGTATCAAAGGCTTTAGAAAGGTCTAAGAATATACCCACAGATTTTTTCTTATTGTCAAAGTTTTCAGTAATTATATTGGTAAGTTCTAAAACTGCATCCTCCGTAGATTTTTTATTTCTAAATCCAAATTGGTAAGGTGATAGTATATTACGACTATCAATAAATGTTTTTAATCTACGGTTTAGGATTTTTTCAAATATCTTTGAAAAAACGGATAAGACTGAAATAGGTCTATAATTAGAAATAACGTCTCCATCTCCACCTTTAAAAATTGGATGTACTATTGCTTTTTTAAAAGCGTTAGGAAAAATACCCATATTGATAGCACAATTGAATACATATTTTAGTATAGGAATAATTACATGTCTTACTGACTTAATTATAGAAGTAGAGACACCGTCCCATCCAACAGCACAGTTGGTTTTTAAATTAATAATAATATTTTCAATTTCCTCTTCATCCACATCGAAAAAAGCCATAGAGTTGGGAGAAGATTGGCTACAGGTATCATGCCTGTGTAGTAAAGGCGTAGCTGAGTTATGTTGTATTCGAGAATTACCGTTATACCTTGATTCAATGGCGGATGCTAGATTCTTACCAATGTTAGCAAAGAATGTATTAACTAAGTTAACAGAAGATAATGGATTATTATTTAATTTCAGTAATCTTGTAGAATTACTTTGTCTATTCTGGAGATTAGCCATTCTCTTAATCAAACTCCATGTTTCCTTTGGATTCTTTCTGACCCTTTGGATCTCATTCTGTTGAAAATTCTTTTTAATTTTTTTTAAGAGATTATTACAAAAGGTACGATACCGTGTGTAGATTATTTTATGAATTTCATTATTGGGATTCTTCTTAAATTTACGGTATAACTTGTCTCTATGTCGTATACATTTCAGTAGGCCAGGAGTAATCCATGGTCTAATGATGCGTTTTCTACTGGAAATTTGTACATTACGACTATGAGTTTTGATAATGTTAGATACAATACTAACTAAGAGATCAGCAGACGTATTAGGATTACTGGAGTCAAATACAGGAGAAAAGTCTGTAGATTCTATTTCTTTTACAACAGCAGAGATATCACAATGTTGAGAGAAACGCTTTGCAGAAATTGAATTTACTTTAGTAGTGCAATGGAATATAAATAGGAGCATGGTCCGTGATGAGTGAATCAAGAATGATGGTGGATGTATAACATGAAGCGTGCAGCATAACGTGGTCTAAACAATTGTTTTCTCTCGTAGGCAAAAGATGAGCTGGGAGCATTCCATGCATAGCAATCAAATTTAGATATTCGTCGGAATTTGGGTCAGTATTAGTGGGTGCTATGTTGATATTTATATCACCAATTATAGCACAAGTTTTAAAGTTACTTAACGTCTTAAGTGTATTATCAAGACTTTTGTAAAAAGAAATTAAATTATTATATGACGGAGAACGATATATTGCTATGAGGGCAAGATTATTGGCATATTTTAAGATAATACAATTTGCATCCTGAAATTCGGGAATTTCTACAGTGTACTGAAGACCGCTTTTAACATATACCACTACACCATCATTTTGTTTTTTAAAATTAGATTTAAAGGATTCATAGCCGGAAAGTATGGGGATATAAGGGGTTTTGCTCAACCAACATTCCGTTAAAATTATAATATCAATATTTAATTCTATTCTATGAAGTAATGTTATAAAGTTATCAAAGTTACAATTAATACTACGAATATTGACATGAAAAATATTTATTGAGTTTGTGTCAGACTTTAAATTTACAGGAATATCCTCGGGGGAACATCTTAGCGATTCTGATAAAGAAATTTGTTCGATATCATCATTAATTTGATTAGTATTATTCATAAGAGGTATAGAAAAACAACCAAGGCTAAGGAACGCGGATCAAAGTTAAACCAGAGAATGGAATTATAATCAGTGAGAATAGAATCTAATTGAGATAAATTAAGTGTAAAGTTATTAATGTCAGAAAATCTGTAATATAAATTAATATTGTATTGTAAGTGATGTGTATAATTGTGTGTGTGTGTTATAAACAAATGAAGGTAAATAAGTAGGCTAGTGTATACATTATTAAGAAAATTTGTTTGTTTGGAAAAAAGATTAAACAAATATTATAATATACTATCAACATGTAACAAGCAAAAACTGTTTCTGTCACCTGGTTACATAGTCATTTTGATATATTAACTTTCTCCAACACGGTGTCATCTGTTACTGGAATCAAAGTACCATTATCCCTTCTGCGAAGAAATATTTTTCCATGGGATACCCAGCAATATTTATAATTGTTAGTTTTGCAAATTCTCTGGCCAGATAAAACAACTTTTTCATTTTGGAAGACAAATATTCCGATATATAAATAGGAGATGGTGGCCCACTTAGATGAAGCGTTTCAGTAGTTAGTTTAGAGCTTCCCTTGTTATATTTGCGGTACATTGCAATAATTTTTTCTTTCAGTATACAGCTCGTTAAATCTACTATGACAGTTTTACTAGCTTGCTGTTTGGTTTTTATGCGAAAAATGTCTTTTACTTCGCTCGGTAGAACTGGTACATTTAATACACCGCAAGTTTTTATAAACGTCTCTAGAAGAGAACTCTTTGATTCACTAGGAAAAGTTGGAATATTCCTAATTTCCAAACAAGTCGACCTGTTGTTACGTTCGAGAGTTTCTATTTTATCTTCCAGATTCCTTACATACTGTATATCCGCGTTACGGTCAGATTCCAACTTGTCTATTTTTGATTGGAGGGAATCGTATTTATGAGCCAAAAAATCAACAGATGTGCGGAGATCTTCAAACACAGCACACAACCGTTCTCTTATCTTGCTCGTCCCTAAAATCTTTAAACATTTGTTTCATTTCCGTCATAAACGAATTCAACATCTCATCATCATAAAGTGAGTGTTTTCGTTTGCGTGTAGCATTAGTAGCTTCCATCTCATTCAGATTTGGTTCGGAAGAAGAACCATGTAACTGTTCTGAATGAGGTAATCTTAAGACTATGCCTGAGTCACAAAAGGGACGGTCTGGGGCGACAGTGGTGGGCACATTCATCTCTGATTGAGCAATACCAGTGTGAGGTGCAGGTGAAGGCGGAGGTGTGCGCTTAAGTGGTATCGTTAATTATTAAGTAGAAGAAAAAAAAATTACTACAGAAATTCAACTTTTAAATAAAATTTCAATAAAATAATTGACAAACACAATTTTCTTGCAAAAATTGTTTAACAAAAAGATAAGATTGTAATGAGAATCGAGCCTCGAATATTACGTAGAACTTGTCTGTGCTGCCACTCCGCCAACAGATAGTCGTAATAAATTGTTGAATTATAGTATCACTCTTCAGTACCCGTATGTACGTACCCGCATGAAATTTCAGCGACTACGAGTCAAGGTCAAACCTTTGTTTTGTTAATAGTTTGTAAACGGGTATATCACTGAAATGGTCTTCTACAAAACATTGATGCAGTATTTATCGGTACTCACGATGTTTATTTGTCGATGAAATATAGTCCGTCGTGAAGATCTCACTTTGTTCTTGAATTTGGTATAATATTATTTTAGGAATGATAACTTTTACCACAGATTTGAATTTAAAACAATGGAGCTAACACAAACACGTCTTGTTATAACGGCAGTTGCGCGGGTGGGGGGGGGGGGGGGAAGTACTTATTTTTTACCAACATGCTTTACTTGTTTTCAATGTTCCTCTAATTTTTTCTTAAACTTTCTTCCATAGATGGCAGAAACCACTAAAAAGAGCATAATTCGGCCTATTGTCCTATACACAGCAGTGTGGGCCAGCAAAGGTGACGGATGAAAAGGACTAAGTATAGGTGGTACAGGTCAGATGCGAATATTGAGATAGATGTGTGGTGTGATACGAATGGACAAAATTAAGAATCTGTATATCCGAAAAAATATAATAGTAGCGCACCAGTGATAGAAAAGTTAAGAAGTAACCGTCTCTCCTTGTATAGATACCTGATGCGCAGGGACTTGGAGCATGTTTTAAAAATTTAAATTTAAACTATCTATGTTCAAATAGACTTACAAACCACATTCATCAATCTTTTCATACACGCTCGCCGGTTACGGGTACTTTTAATTTGAGGTTTGTTTGAATCGAAGCATTTGGTGTTCCATTGTTTCTGCCTACTCTAATGGGAGGGAGACAGGCGTGACAGATATGTATGTACTTACAAACCAAATTTTTAAGTCGTATTTTCTTTATAAATGCAGAATTCGAAAAGTTGTTATCCTGAGTCACCTATATCCACCGACTCCCTGTAATGTATTTGAGTTCGTCATTACGTCATTGGTTATCGGTTTTTTGAATTCTGTGACGAGCCCATTGTCACTTCAGCTTGTTTATTCTTCAGTCTATGTCGGTGACTTTGGTTCTTTTGTGCATACCTTCATTTTGGATTCCATGATGATTTTTTAATAACAGTTTATATTCATTAAAAGATAGATACAAAATATCTTTCAGTATCTTAATATAAAATGAAATGCTTATTCCCATAAAAGACCTATTAACTTTTTTTAAATAATATTTTGGAACAGCAAGTTTGAATTTTTATCTAGTGTTAAGATTATCGAAATCGCTATTTTTAAAAAACAGATGAAAATTCCTACATATAAACAAAATGTTTGCGTATATGTATTGTGAAGTTACGGTAAAAATATTTGCTTCTTTAAATATCTCTTGTTGATTGACGACTTCCCATAGAATAAAACGCGGGAATTGCATACTTTTGTAGTACAAATATACTTTAACTTTGTCTTATCTTAGGTATTAAATATGAATGTGGATGGCTAGTAAATGCGGAAATAATTATGAACAAAGAGAATGGGAAAGAAATACATATTACGCCGCCCTCAATTAATGAATGGAATAAGGGTAGGAAAATTATAATGATAATGATGGTTGCAGATATTATCCCTAATCTATATTTACAAGGGATGTTAACTCAACAGTCTGTAACACGTCAATCTGTGACTATATTTAAAGAACGTCAATCAAATAGGAAATAATTTGATAATAATTATACAAATATTTTTTATTTATTCATTATTTTATTTAATGTACAAATATAATAATAAAAACATAATTTTAATTGATTATGTATTCAAAAATTAATTTTGTTCATTTATAAATAAAGTATTTATGAAACGTATTTGTAAGGATAAATTATAAGTAAATAAACCTTTATAACAGCTACCTAATGGATTTACTAGCGAGTGCTTTGATCTTATTAGGTTATTTTATTACTATAAACTAAGTTTTAGGTTTATAATCTTATAGAAAGTGAGAATTTATAAAGTCAACTAGCTTTGTTAAATTTTTGTATACGTACTGAAATCAAAATATCTCAGTGCCAGTACTTTTATATAGTGTTATTATATTTCCTATTTACCTTATCGAACTTACGTGACGTTTTGTCATTCATCATAATGAAAATCAACGAAAAAAATTTGTGCGCTTTCGCGTCGTCCGCGACACCAGTGGACCGTGATGGGTGGCTTGACATGCGAGGCGAGGTTGGCAAGAGTTATCAGAAGCGATGGTGCACTCTCAAGGGAAACCTTCTATTTTATTTCGACAAACAGGGCGACAAGGAACCGTTGGGGGTTATTATACTGGAGGGCTGTACAATTGGTTTGTATATATATCTTGTATTTAGTTCTAATGCCATTGACAGGGGGTAAGGGATTGTTAGAAATGGCGATTTACCAGCTCCATTACTAACAATATACTCTATCAGGCTGACCTCCATGCAATTCCCCTTGGAAATTATTTTGGACAATTTTTGTAGAATTTATCATGATGGACTAACTGACTTGCTTTCATTCTCATTTATCATACCTTACTGGTGCCCTGCTAGCATATACCGTGCTGGCGGGGTTACCATTCCATTAACATTGCACAAAAAACAATGCCATTGACAAAATATGATAAAAAAGAACAATATAGTTATATTCCTATAGTGTATAATGATCGGTTGATGGTAATGAAGTTTAACAACTTCTTTGTTAGCAATATTCTCTATCAGGGCGATCTCCACACAGTTCGCCCTAGAAACTAACATGGTTAATTCATGTTCTCACAATAGGCCAACTGGCCTCCTTTCATTCTCACATATTATCTCTCTGGTGCCATGCTTGCATATTTTGATGGTGCAAGTAGGGCTACTATTATAATTTTATCCATTAAAAGAAAACCTGATTACTTTTATTATTCTAATTTAAACCTGTTGATACACTTGTAATATACTTTGTTGGCTTGTACTCCTAATGCTTGACTTAATTCAAGAAATTAAATTCTTTAATTTAGTTTTTTGTATATTTTTTGAAACTGAAATATTGTGAACTTTTATTCTATAGTTTATTATTGTATTAGGCAATCAAATTAATTCAAATAACAAAGAATTCTTTGTTAAATAAATCCATCATGAATGCTAAAGAGAACCATTCTTAGTAAAGTTAATTTTTAATTAAATTTATAATTAAAAATTAATGCTTAAAAGATTAATTTAAAAAATTCACAACTCATGTGATCACACTTATAAATTGTATACTTTATTAACACTACATAAATAATTTTTAATTGAATATATTTTACATTTTAATCTTAATGTAATAACTACCTATTTAGCTTTTTTTTTTATACAATTTAGAATGGCAAACAAGCTGACGGTCCACCTGATGGAAAGTGGTAACCGTCGCCTATAGACATGAGCAGTACCATGGACATAACAGAGTATACTGTCTCGCACATGATACCCCTCATGCGTTGCCATTCCTGAGGACTCAGGTGTTATTCCTCTGTACCCAGTAAATTCATGCCATATCCCACCCTTCAAACTGAAATACAGTCTTGCAAACACGACTGCTTCACGGTTGAAACACAAATGGGACAGAGGTACTCTAGCAATCGACTTTTGTACAAAGTCTCCCTCTGGTAAATGTAAATTACATGTAATTAGATCAAAAACATTTTAATTGTTAACAATTTTCTTTATAATTATGATCATATCATGATTCTATCTTCTACAGAGCTTACAGAAGAAGAGACATACAGTTTCAAAATAGTATTTCAATGTGAGGGTGGGCGTACATACTTTTTCTGCACAAATAATCAGGCTTCCATGGAGGCATGGATGAAAGCTCTCGCATGTGCCAGTTATGACTACATGAAGTTGATGGTAGCCGAGTTGCAGAGGCAGCTGAATGAAGCAGAAGGTCGGTACATTCATTTTTTATAAGAAATTATTTTGATTTCATTAAAAAAATATAATTGTATATTTTAAAGAGTTGTCTTCCAAACGTTTTTAATACAAAATTCATTTAGCTATATTAAATCAATTTTACGCTAAGTGAAATAGATATTTTAAAACCTATTTTATTTTCTTTTGAGTGTTCATCTGTGTAAAAGCATAAGATGATTCTATTGTTTTAAATATGTTTTTTTTATAAAATTTAATGCAAAGATATTATTTTTCACATATGTCGTCTGTAAGTATCTTTGTCAAGTATTTTTTTATTATTATTAGTATTTTACATCACAAATTACATTTTATAACAGTATTTTTTTTTATTGTTATTCTTTTCATGCAGTAACAGCACTAATGGTGAATTAATACCTACTATAAACTTTTTGTTCTTTGCTTTGATAATAATAATTTATTCAACAAAAATATACAGATACAATTACAAGATACATATATATTATATATTGATCTACAGTAAGTGTATCTGGCCTCCATGCGAGAAAAATTCCGTGTTATGAAGGTCAAGCTGTCATATTTTAATAAATTTTCTTATATAAATTTAAGGAATTCATAGAATTAAAGGTTAAACTACAAAGGAAAAACAATGGAAAAAGAATATTAATAATAAATATCTCGACCTAGCTCACGAGGTGACCGAAATGTGGGGGGTGACATCTACCGAAATCGTTTCAATCGTTATGTCGGTGAACGGTCTTATCCCAACCAGTCTGAACCAACAACTCAGACGGTTGGGATTCCGAGGCGGCTCACTCCCGGAAAAGATGCAGAAAGCAGTGCTCTTAGATTCTGCCCGCATTGTACGCCGGTTTCTTTTCCTGGGGCCCTGAACCCCGGCCGAATGTGCTTCTGCCGGGGCTTAGTTGCCATCTCCTCTCCTTAAGAGGGGAGATGAGAATTTTTGTAATGTTTAAATAATAATAATTTATTGGTACTGCTTTTAGAATGAAGATTGTATGTTTTAAACTCTAACCAGCTAATTGTGGATCTCTGTTATTTTTCACAGCCGAAGCCGCAGCTGATGCAGCAGCACTAGTGACCATTACACCCCCGGAAGAGGAGCCCAAAGTGCCACCTCGTGGGCAGAGATATAACCCCTTCAATAGGGTCCCAGAGGGCGACGCTAAGGTCGTACAAGGCAGTCGACATCGTAAGTAAAACACAATATTACTGTTGGGTAGTCAGATTTTTTTTTGTTGGGTGAAAATGGTATGGTAACCCCGCCTGCGCTAACGGGATAAGCTGGCGGAGCACCAGTGAAGGGTGATAGATGAGAATGAAAACAGGCCAGTTAGCCCATCATGATGAATTCATCAGGAATTAACCATGATAGTTTCCACGGGGAACCGCGAGGAGGTCGACCTGGTTGGGTATTTTGCTAATAATAGGATTCTCAGTCTCCATTACTAACAATTCCTTTCGCCTCTGGGTAGTTAGATTAGATACTTATTTTGTGGGATTGAAATAAAAAAAATACTACTAATGTTGTAACTGTTAATATTCTTTATTTCAATTTATCAGAACAAATATTTAATATTTCAACATAATTGATACATACATAACAATCATTATCATCTCAGCAGTTATCTATCCATAATAACAATACACACAATTATAAATAGTATCCCAATGTACCACATCCAGGCAGTACACCCAAGATACTGGCAGCATTACCTCTTTGGATTGCTAAACTGATCTTTTGCGCAAAGCTTAAAAGTTACCAGGGGGGGGGGGGAATTGTTAATAATGGAGACTTAAGGCCCCATTGCTAGCAATGTACCCAAGCAGGTCGACCTCCATGCAGTCCCCCCTCGAAACCATCGTGCTGAATTCCAAGTGTATTTATCACGATGAGCTAACTGATCTGTCTTTTCATCCAGCCCTCATTGGTGCTCCGCTAGTGTATACCGATAGTACAGGCGGGGTTAACATTCTATTATCATCCATTACAAAGAAACCTATCTCTAAAGTTCATATTTCAATTTGATATCACAACGAAGTCGTTATTATAAGGATCAATATGAACAAATTTCCTAATACATTTAAATCAAAATTATTGTGAATTTAATTTATGTACACCCATTTTTTTTTATTATTATTTAAGGACTTTTACCTTATTCAGGTGTATCAGTCCTATCGTACCCTGAACTAATTTCTCAAACAAAACTTCATCTACTTTCCCTAGACGCGGAAAGAGAAGAATTAATGGGCATCAATACTTTACAGAGATGTTAAAAAATTTCTGGCTTTAGTTCAGCTAACATAGATTGAATAAGACCAACATTAAATTTATTTAAATTAAAGTGACGCATGAATTCTCCTTTTTCCTTCGTATTAATAAAATAGTAATTACACGAAATTATCAGATTAAATAAAAAATTTTAGGTTAAGAGATAGGTTTATGTTTTTATAAATGGTGCCTCAGAATCGATTCTAGTTACCTTACTAGCTAGCTTACCATTTTAAGTGTTAAAAATAAGTTTCAATTTTTGGTGTGAATTTTATAATAATTTATGTTTTACAGATAAAGAGAATCTACGGCCCGATTTGCCACGGAAAAAAGTACCTTTCCGTGATATCCACACGACGTACGGACGAAAAATACTCGCAGACAGAAACGAGTGGAGAGTTAAACTGTTAAAGCAGAGGTCAAGCGAGAAACCTCTCATACAACTGTAACTGACGTGTATTTGTTGTCATAATCTCAGTATTAAATTAAAATAAGATTGTGAACCAAAAATATATTGCAAGTAGAGATATCGTTGTATCAATGCACCATAGACATTTTTGTAATATGGATAAAAAACATTACGCCGACCCCATATAATATTTAGAATAAGGGTAGGAAGAAGAATGCACCACAGCGCCATCTAGTCGCACTCTAACTAGACATACTAGATAATTGTTAAATTTACTTAATTTTTTTTTATATTATTATATCAGTCGTTAATAGTCCACTGTTGAACATAGTTCTCCATAAAGGGAGGTTTTACCAGTAGATGTCACGTTTGGCAAGCGAGATGGCAATCGCAATTAGGCTTTGGTGATGTTTTAAAGAGGGACGCTGCTGCCCATTCCTCGGCAATTATGTTCCCTTAGTCGCCTCTTATGACACCCATGGGAAAGAAATGGGTAGCCCATTCTACACGGCAATTTTTTTTTAGTACATTGTAAACGCGCGGACAAACACATTTTTAAATACAAATATGTGTAGAGAGCAGGCCATTGAACCCGCAGTCATTAGAAATGTTAAAATGCTATCCCCAAATTATAAGTTTATTTCTTTAATTATATTTTAAAATCACTTCAAAAAAGAAGGACTCCTCCTTTTCTTCTTAATTTGATTATCAAAAAAATTTGAACGTTATTCAATTCTAATTTTGAATCTTTTAATCAAAGGTTTTACTCGTTGGCCCCATATTATTATTTTTTTTTATTAATACTTGCGTTATATTATGTAATTTTTCTCTCATCTGTATTGATATGATTTACTGATATTTTAAAATGCAGAATTGTTTTAAGAAGTTTTGTTATATTTACCATCATTCCATTGTTTCTGCCTACCCTAATGGGAGACAGGCGTGACAGATATGTATGTATGTATATATGTATGTATGTTATATTCACTTATTCTTTAAATTTCTTGCCAGTGTAAAAAGAAGTGAATGTGTACGATTATATAATATATTGTATATTTTTAAAACTTTACATTTATTTTACATTTATTTTCTGCTAACATATTATTATGCTTAGTTTTTTTTAAATTCATATACAGCTAATGGCAAGTGTTGATCATGCCATTAGTTAATGCAGATCTAAATGTAATTTTCATGTAGGAACAGTTATAATAAAATATAAGAATAAATCAAATTTATACATTGACATAGAAATTTCGGTTATTTGTATATTTTTTTTTTATGTTTAAAATTAAATTGTGCTAATTATGGAATGTTATTACGTAAATAATTTAAGTACAGTTAATGTAAGGAAAATAAAACAACAATATTTGTATTAAGTAGTTTATTTTAAAAATCTTTGTTATATAAACCAACACTTTACAAAAATCAACTGAGACTAAAGGGAGAGTTAACACAAGTACACAGCGACGCATCAACTCGTACGCCTGCCGCAAGCGCGTCTTGCACTCCAACGTTTTGGTATTGTTACTCGCAACTAGAGAACATTGAGCAATACATTGCAACACACGCTCCCGCGCAGAGCGCAATACACATAGCCGCACATTAGCCAAAATTACGCAACAAGGTTCGACACGTTTACGCGCAGTGTTCGTGTGTGCGTAAACGTGTCGAACTCGGGGCGCGTAATTCCAGCTAACGTGCCGCTACACAGTCACAACACGTGGTTCTGACTCGAATACATAACTACAGTGATATCTATACATAACAAAGTGATTGTCAAAATGAATACACGGAAGACAGGTTGAGAATGCCCAGGAGAATATGGTAACAAGTAAGTCTCAGAGATAAACTGAAAATGTCAAACTTCAACATTCTAAATATTGTGTTAATGTATAAAACAATATATACTTCTATAAATAAACGCATCGTGAATATAACGTCCCGCGCTCTGTTTTCATATGCAAACGCGTTGTTATTAAAACTTCGTATACTCTGTCGTTGCAGGGTTCCATATAAAAATCAGAGTGCCCATCTAGGAACGTGATATTAAGGAACACGAGGAAAAAAAAAATCGTGCAAAAACCACATAACACTCAAAATAGATATCTCCCATGTCCATAAACTATGCAAATTATAAATCTACAAAGAAATTAAACAAAGGCATTGCTCTGTCCGCGGATACGTCGCGCGTAAATCGACTATTTCTGTAGAGTGTAAACGCGTAAACGTTTAGTTCTACCGCGACATGTCGACTGTCACGTTAGAAAATACAATGTTTTCTCTCTACAAAAATCATCGAGAAACCGCGTCGTGCCCGCACAACACCTAATACGAAGTATTGTCATAAATATGGATCATATTTGGTAACAATTCCTTAAAGATTAATAGCAAATTATAGACACTGTGCACTAAAAAACAAATGGGAAACACAAAACAGGCGTTAGTATTTACAAAGTTACATTTTAAATCACATTACTAACCAATTTCTCTAAAGCTATCAAAGGAAATTAGTGAAAAACGAGTCTTAAATAAGATTGTTTAAGAGGAAAGATTTAAATAGGAAAACTGTAGTGTAAATATACAAACTAAATTAAAATCACGTATAAAACAAGGCGTAAAGTTATATACAATTTGTGTGGTGGGTGGGAGTTAGATTCTGGCCACTTGATATAGGGAAAAGTTATATTTGGTCTTAGGGTATATAATAACGTTTACAATATTTCATTATATCCACATTATAGTCTAAAAAATAATAATTTATTGCTTCCACTACCGATCCTCAGTCGTTTATTGTCATCTTTAATGTCATGCTTTAAATCTACTAATCTCATTAGGATTAAGTCAGTTTACTAATACTACGAATAATGTAAGTGAATTCGCATATATAGTGCGCAGTTGTGACGTCAGTAGTCATCAACAATGATGTCTACTCATTTCATAGCTGCTATGTTACAATTATAATTGTTATATAGTAAATATGTGGGTTACGTTACAATATAGTGAATCATGTGTGACGAATACGTTACAGTCTTATTATGTAGTACATATTGTTATGAATATTCAATTGTCCAATATATGATCAATGTAAAGCAAAGTGGCCAGGTGCTAGCGTGGTGGGTGTGACGTACTGGAGCGCGTTCCTCTCTACGCCAAATACGCTAATAACACTTGGCGAAAACGAAATAAAGCTACAACGCAAGTGAAGTGAGCGATTTCTGCGTGAAACGGAACGCGCGGCGAACGATCGTCGCTCATAGCTCGAAGCGCTTCTTCCGCTCGGCGACCATACCGACAAGGGGCGTTACGGTCGCTTTGCCGCTGACTGAACAGCGTTTCGACGTTTTTAGTTCTGTGGAACAAAACAATGTCTGTTATTATTTTATTATATATGGGGACAATCATTTCTTCGTTATTTTAAGGCGAATTAAAAAAAAATGCTTTTTTGTATACTTGTTAAGCGATTTTGTAATTTGTTTGCAACTTTAATTTTTCTAGACCAATAATAGGTTAAGATCCCGTTGCTGATTTCTGGCAGGTGAAAATAGGCACGATAAATTTAGTAGTATCATATACATTCGGAGCATTGTTAATTTTACCTGAACGGGCGACAGTTGCAGATTTCTGGTGCTTTCGGTCTTCGCGAATTGTATCTTGGGCTGGCGCGACGGTCTCGCCGCCTCCATCAGTGGACTCGCTCTCGACGACTTCCCCTGAGATATATAACAAGGTTATTGATATGCGGTTGTTCAGTGTTATAAATTGTACTACTCTTAGACTACGTCACTACGTAATTTAAGAGACAGCACTACTCCAATATTACCGCAACTGAAAAATGAATCTATGCAACCAGCTAGAAGCGTCAACACAACTCTATAGTGCTTTGCATCTTCCTTTATCATGTGTACGACCAAGGAGTGGAACTGCTTATGTTTTTTCATCCAAATATAATCTGCACCAATTTAAATCAAATGTGAATAAGCCATTTGTGGTCCCGCGAACTCTCGTGATCATTCGTAGGACCCTTCAATTGTAAAAAAATGAATATTTAGTATTGTACAAGTATTTTCAAAATGTATGTGCCCAAGATATAGATACTGAGAGGTTTTTTTTTATACAACTTAGAATGGCAAACAAGCTGACGGCCCACCTGATGGAAAGTGGTAACTGTCGCCTATAGATATGAGCGGTACCATGAACATAACAGAGTCTACTGTTTCGCCCGTGATACCCCGGTATCATAAAAGACCTAGCTATGTTATTGTATAAAATTTCTAATAAGAGCTGGTTACACAGATCACTTTGTGATCATGATGTATATTATTTTGGACAGAGAATTATTATAAATTGTTGTACAATAAGGACCGTAGCTAGACCCAAGTTTAAGGTAAGGCATTGAGTCTTTTTAGGTAGGGAGGACACTGCCCTTCAATGCTTCCCCTTAGCTACGGCCGTGTGTTCAATAAATCAATATTATATTTATTTTGTTGTTATTTCTAGGTTGTTGCGTAGATCATTTTTCAATTTCATCAATATAAAGGCGGTGTCGACTCTTCAATAACATAACGATTACTTGTTTTATGCTTTTAATATATTTTAAATAAAAATTATACGTCACTATGTTATTTTTTTTTTATTTATCTATAATTAATATTATGTATCTGCAATAATTGAAGAAAAAATATTTATCATGTGTTAAAAAAATTATGTAATAAAAAAAAAAAAAACAATAAAACCCATTAAGCAAAACAAAACCAAATATGTGCAAAAAATATCAATGCTTTTTAAATAAAAAAAAATAAAAAAACAGTTTTAAATACAAACCATTCCTTAAACTTAGGTTAGAAATAATTGTTAATGCAAAAGCTTCTTAAATAATTTTTAAATTTTTTTTTTCTAGGATTATATACATATAAAGGCGAATAAGTCTACACGACTTATTCTATGAGACGGATGTAATGATTTTTTTAGAGACAAAATATATAAAAAAGTTTGTAAAACTTCATGATATTTGTTAGATACGCAGCTGAACGAATTTAAATAAAATATTGTATATAAATTGTCTATACTCAAGATCGTAATTTGTCAAAACTTATTCTGTCGAGACCGATTATATAAATAGGCAAATATTAAGTCAAAAATGTTACAATTCGAGTTTCAAACCTAAATATATATTTCAATTCTAGTTTGTTTAAGAAACATTCGTTCTTTTTTTGTTCTGTGGGGCAAAATTTATGTAATCCAATATATTTCGTAAGATTACAACTAAGTCTTATTTTAGTGGAGTGAAGTCGATGCCAAACTGTTAAAAGTTGAGTTAAATTTTTAAAAATAATTTGTTACCAAAATTAAAATGTACAATTATCTACATAGTAATAGTATATTTAACAATAACATATTTAGTTACTAATAATGTATTCTACCAAAGGTTTGCAATGTCTTAATGTCTACTGGTCAAATGAAATAACATTGGCAATGCGTAGTCTGCGTTCGCTTGCCGGTTACCTGATGGGTTGTTGCGCTGCCATACAGCCGCCAGGTGGCGCAGGTGCGCCCACAGCGGCCCCTCCGCCCTCCCATGCTGTTAGTGCACCCAAATGTACCATGACGCCATGTTGTAACAGAATAGTGGGCCAGTCACTAATTTACCCGGGCTGTTCGCTCAAATTGAGGTACAAATACCATAGAGCCTTAGATCATAGAGTATTCGAATATTTAAAAATAGAATACCTTCCAAAATTGTTAAACTTATAAAAAAAAAAGTAATATTATGTTAGGTGAAAGTTTTTTTATAGACCTTTCAACGTGTTTCTGATAAAAGGGGCGCTTAAAAATATCAACTCTTGACTGCGCGTTTAAAGAGTGTTCGGACACCAATGTAAGATATATTTTTGGAGTCGTAACGATCAATGACGTGATGATTTTTGCATCTTTTTCAACCCTCTTCTAATTTGGTGATACATGGTAAAGATTCAAAATAACCCCCCGCCCCCCTCGCCCCAAACCCAAAATCTTAAAAAGTTTTAGACTATTATCTTTAAATACAGATATAATCTAATTAAATTATGGAAAAGTGCTTAAACACCGTGATAAAAATGTCTAGACAGACATTAAGGTTGCAACGGCGAGTCAAGGCACACGTCGCTTTTCCATTTAGAACTTGCGCATTCAATGAAAAAATAAACACATGTCACTAATTTAGCTTTTTTTTTTTTAAAATATTACACGGAATATATCTTTTTAATGTAAATTATCCAAGGAATTTATACACTTAAACTTCCTCGGGTATACCTGTTTATCCCTATTCGTAAAAATTATATTTTTACTGCAATAAAAAAAGTACTCAAGGTAAAAATACTGTACTCAATTTGGGCGATGTAGAGCAACGAAAAATAATAGACATGTCTAATTTTGAAAAGAATTATTTACAACAGAATGTAATCTAAAATCTAGACTCGAGACGATCGAATACTAAATGGTGATAGTCATCTCAGAAAATTAGAAAACTTGTTTATAAATTGTTTCAATAGAACTTAACGAAAATGGTAACAAACGAATAATTGATCCATCCACAAGACAGTCTACTGATTTCCAATTCTTCTCATTTATGAATAACAAATAGTAACTTATAACTAGGCTGTATGGTCTATGCTCTTTGCCTGTCCAATTTAGACGAATTAAAATAACAACAACAGTAGCACAAATCAAAAATCAATCTATTGACTGAATGTATCGAATTGTTACTAATTTTATTTAAATAGTGTTTCTGTGACAAAACTAGGTTACCTTTTCATTAAGTTTTATTAAAACATACTAGCATGAAATTAATGACAATGGTGATGAAGTTAAACCAATGATATTGTTACGTGCGACGCGTGACAACATGCAAGCGTGCAGATTTCTACTTGAAATATTTATGTCCTTAAGAAAAGTATCATAGCTTAGGCTGTACAAGCGTGTTCTGTCGACTTTGTGCAAATAAAAAAAAAAGGCTAGTTATAAATGGAACATACCGGCGCAGTGTCTTCGATGAGCTGCGAGAGGGTAGACGCTTCGCCGTTTTTCAGATCGTTCGCTTCGGATATCAAATGAGCACGTAGTTGTTTATTTCTGAAATTATATGTAATATAAATATAAGTAAAAGAAATTGTTTTAAAAAGCAGAACTAATAAAAGAATAATTTATGAATTAAGTATTTAATAATTCATCTTTTATTATTATTATTCGTTTTTCTCTCTTGAATAATAAAATCTCTTTAAATAGTATAAAGCATCGATGGACATAACAGAGTATACTGTTTTGCCCATGATACCCCCCATGCGTTGCCATTCCTGAGGACTCAGGTGTTATTCCTCTGTACCCAGTAAATTCACACCATATCCCACCCATCAAACTGAAACACAGCCATGCAAACACAACTGCTTCACGGTTGAAACACGAATGGGACAGAGGTACCCAAGCAATCGACTTTTGTACAAAGTCTCCCTCCGGTAAATAAATAAAATAAAAATAAATCACCAATTTTTATGAAATGCAATCATAAATTTCTACACATAATGCCCTCTAGTAATAACAATTCTATTGCGTACAGATGGCGGTGTATTATAGAAAAATAAGTATGATACGAAAACAGAAGGATATAATTTTAATAAAAAGCATCCAAATAAAATAAATCACCTTATTTAAAAGACATTAGATTTAATTAATTAGATCCCGAAAATACATTCAAATTTGAAGGGTCCAAGTTTGTAGTTACCTGGCGTCGAGCTGCATGATGTGGTTGTGCGCCTGCGCAAGCTGCGCGGTGGCGGTGGCGAGCCGCTCCTCCAGCGCCGCCGACTCCACGCACTTCACTGAGTACTTCTCCGAGAGTGATAGAATTTCGCGTTTGATCTCCTCCATTTCTTGCCTGGAAGTCAAGAGGACAATTCTTATTCTTTGCCAAAATTGTTTTTCCTACTGCCAAGATTGTTTTGTGGAACATAAAATAAATATTTAAATAGTATTTTAATCGAAAAACATATGAAAATTATTTGACGTCAGAAAGGTGACGACTTATTGGCTTGAATATGGCATTATGGCATTATGGCATCGCAAAAATGAGAATAAATACGAGGATCGTCATGAGATATAAATTACGAATGTATTAACATGTCAGAAGACCAAAGCATAGTTTTAAAAAAATTGTTACGTGCGAACACATTTCTATCGTTGTTTTTTATATAACTGTGTACATGACTCGGCCCAGGTTCCCAATGTTTCTGAAAGATCTTTAACAGCGCGTCCTAGCCAAGAGTATCCGGGGCTGTTACTGCACTATTACTGTAGATGAACAACTCACTGGTGTCGCGAGCTGAGCTGCGACAGGTCCCCGGAGTGCGCGCCCCGGCTAAGGAACTCTGCCTTGAACTTATCCACTTCGCGCCGGACTTCACTCTCGTGCGCCTTCCGCATCGCGTCCAGTGCCGCCAGCGTCGCTCGAGTCTCCTCCGCTAACGCTTGCTCCTTGTCCAGCCTGTTATTATAAAATGTTATTTTTTTGTCATTTCGAACCAAACAGATTTCTTATCATTATCGTTAAACTTAAATATTTTCCAATTTTTCATTGTCAATATAAAAGCACCTGCACAAATTTATCGCAGCCAGGGTCTGCATGGAATATTTAATTAAGGTTGCCTCTTATTCCTCTCCGCTATACACGTATCTCTTAAATCTATGAAAATTTACGATTTCGCAAAATATAAACGTTGAAAAAAGCTCAGTGGTGCCAACAATCGGCCTGCCGGTCTTATATTATAATACTGGGCGTTGAAGTTTTGACGCTACAAAACTGTCACCACGTAAACGTCGCTGCACTATGGTAGCGTACCGCAGCTGTTCCCGCTCGGCGCGGTGCTTCTCCTCCATCTCGCGCACGATGCGGCGGTGCGAGCTCTCCATCGCGAGCAGGCCCTTCTCGCACAGCGCGCGCAGCTGCTCGATCTCCTGCTGGTAGCGCGCGCGCAGCCCATCGCCGTGCGTGTCCGCCGCCACCGCGCTCTGCAAAACGTACACGAGTCGGAATGCGATTACGTCGTCGACACATCTATGCAAGACCAGGGAAGGTCGAGTGTGCGAGCGTACAGGAATGACTAACCTGATAGGCGGCCCGCAGGTTCTCGAGCTGCGCCGAGTACTCGGAGTCGAGCGCGGCGAGGCGGCGCTGCAGCGTGCGCGCGCGCTCCCGCAGCGCGCTGCGCTCGCGCTCGTGCTGCGCCTGCAGCTGCGCGCGCGCTCGCCGCGCCGCCGCCAGCGCGCCCGCCTGCTGCGCCAGCGCGCACTCGCCGCGCGCGCGCTCCGCCTGCAGCCTGCCACACAACCGGTCCGTTAACTCTTGCGTCTGCGCGCCTGCCTACCTACGCGCGTGGTAGACGGCTTACCTGTCCAGCGCGTCCTGCAGCTGCTTGCAGTGCTGGCACGGCACCAGCGCTTGCAGAGCTTCGACGCGCCGCCGCAGCGACTCGACGCGGTCCAGCACGGAGCGCGACGGCGCGGCCGCGGTCTCGGTGGCGGGCCGCGCCGCCTCCTCGTCCGCGGCGCTGCCAGCGAGCTGCCGCTGTACGGCCGCGACGGCCGCCTCCACCCTCTCGAGGCTCTCGCCGATCTTCATCGAGTCTTCACTGTTACCCGAACAGTCACTGGAGAAGAGCGCGCGGCACTCGTTCGAGAAGCGCTGGAAGAGGTAGACGAACTCGGCCTCCTGGGCGGGGTCCGTCTCGAGCGAGGAGATCGCGTCCTCGGCGGATCGCCGCGAGCCGTCGGCGTCGCGCGGCGTCGACGCGCGGTACGTGCCCTCGACGACCGCGATGCGCGCGTCGATCGACGCCTTCTGCGCGAGTACATCGGCGAGCTGGTGCAGTAGCGCGCGGCTGTCGAGGCCGGGCGGGCCATCGTCGCGGCGTTCGGACGCCAGGCACTCGCGATAGCGCGCGGCGATGTCGCGCACGGCTAGGTCGAGCTCGCAGCGCAGGTGGTCGTGCGCGGCCTGCCACCACAGCTCCAGGTCAGCACGGTCCTGCGCGGTGAGCGTGAGGCGGCCGCGGCGCGCGTCGTCCAGCTGCCGCTCGCACACGAGCGCGGCGCGGCCCAGCGCGCGCGCCACCTCGGCCTGCACCAGCGTGGCGCCGAGCGCGTCGCGCGCCGCCGCCCAGGCCTCGCGCACGCGCGCCGCCTCCAGGTTGGCGCGCTGTTGCTCGAAGTCGGCGTCGCCCGGCGTCGCGTAGCTAAGCGTCTCGCACGCGAGCGCCGAGCACAGCTCCGCAAGCTTCTCCGTCTTGTACCTGTCGACGGCCTCGGCGACCTCGCTCTGCGAAGCCTTGAGCGCCTCGAGGTCCGCGCTCTGCAGGATCAGCTCGGACTCTCTGAGCTCCTTTGTCTCCCTCGTCGCGTTCATTATGTCGATCTTTCGCGATAATATCCTAGCGAGATAGTCGAGCGAGCTCCTAGTGCCGGTGATATTTTTGTGGCCATCGCCGTTTATCTTACACTTAAGATTATCGATTAGTTGACTAGTTTCGGTTATTTCAGACTTTATTAATCTAGCGAAGAATCTGCTTCCGTTGGAAGACTCGAGGGCCTCCTGAATTCTGCTGACCAAGACTGCCTCGTACGCGAGCTTTTCGGCTAGAATCTCTAAACTCCTTCGCTGCGTCAGCTCGCCAGCCTCGTACAGGGCCGCCTTTTTCCGTGATATCTCTAACAGTTTGGTTCGCAGTTGCTCCTCTAGCTGTACCACTACCTGCGCCACGCTGTCGTTGATTTCATGCTCATGGTTTTGATCATAGTCGACGACACATTTATCGAAGCACTCTTGCAATCTTTTGCTGACCTCGGATAAGCATTTTTCCATTGACCGAATGCTATATTTCTTCTCAAGACTAGGGGATGGAGATCTCCTTGATTTGGCAGCTCGCATCGCGCTCATTTGACATAGACACTCGTTCACTTTGTTTCTTGAATGTATCACTACGCTTTCAAGACTCTGTAACCTGTCCAAAAGATGTCTTTGTGACGGAGTACCGACAGTAGAATTTTCTAAACTCTCGTTAAAACCCGGACTTTCGGTTGATCTCGTCGCTTGACTCAGAGATTCACAGGAATTTGTGAGGTCACGACGACTCTCTAATGCAGATGCGACTTTGGTTTCTAGCGAACTTAAACGTACTAGCATTTTCATTGGTTCCGAACTGGTAGCGCTGTCCAATGACTTTCGTCGAAGTCTAGCGGCTAATCTTTTCATTCGTTTCTCGTCTGTTAAGTTATCAGCTTTAGTTCTATCTTTGGCAGGTGACATACTTTTGGACGGTGAGTTTATCGTAGGAACTTGTTCCCCAGATTCTAACATGGTAATTTTATTTTCCAGTTCTGTTAATTTTTCTTCTACTTCTTTTCCGAGCGTAAATGACTCTCTTCCTTTCAATGATAAACTACGTCTTTTTTCTCTAGATTCGGATTTTTGTATCTTATACTTCAAAGTCCGCACTTGTTTATCTGAAGCTGTTAACTTTTGCGTAAGGTCTAATATTCGAGCTGCCATTAAGTCGATTTCTGATCTAGTACATTGTTCTCTTAGTTTCATTTCATTCCTTAACTTCATATTTGTTATTTCTAATTCATCATACATGTTATGTGAATCGCGAAGTTCTTTTTTCATAGTTTTGATTTCTTGTATAGCTTTCATAAACCGCGCTCGTAATTCAACATATTCTTCTATCAATTTGTTCTTTTCTATAGATTCTAGATTTATGTCTTCATTTATATTACTGAGCTCGCTGAGAGAATTTATACTCTTTCTCTTTTCTTTGGTTGGGGATTCAGCTACCATTCGTCCTTCTAACTCTCGAATTCGTTCATATAAATTGTCGTTGTCCTTAACACTTTTTAACAGTTTATCGCTAAGGTCATTAAGTTCCGACTGAAGTTGTTTAATAGTATCTTGTGCTGATGTCAATTGTCGAGTTAATAATTCGCAATGCTCTGTTGATTCTTTTAAAAAGTTTTGTGTTTCTGTAAGCTTCGTTTCCCACATGGTTTTATCTTGATTGTAAAGCTGCTTTATTGTATCTAGACTTTCAGCTTCTTTTGTTCTTATCGATAATTCTTCTTCTTTCTTTTGCAATGTTATTACTAGTTCTTCCATTTTTTTCTCTCTTAAAGCTGCATCAGACTTAAGTTTACGTAGTCTAGCTAGTTCTGATTCTGCTAAATTAACATCATTTAAGGCTACTTGAAGTTGTTTACGCAAGTCGTCAATTTCGATGGATTGTTTATCGATAGTTGATATATAGCTACGTTTCCTTGGTTCATTCGGTTTCTCGTTTTCGTCTATAACCTCCGATGAACGGTCTTTTTCTTTGGTAGCATCGATTTCATCCTTATCACCTATACTATCTGATCTTGCTGATGTCGTATTACTCGTTCTAGCACGTACTTTTTCCTTGACTTTTGATATTGGAGTACGATTTAGAATAGGCGATGGCGGTGGTTGGGATGCTACGTCTCCCCAGTCGGCACTATCTCGACGACCGCCTTCTGAAGCTGTTCTGTATTCCTCATCTGATGAGAATGGAGCCGATTTTCCGGTAATAGGCGTCACTGGTGTAACGGGTGAAGTAGACGATTCCGAAGTTTGATCTACAGTGTCTTCCCGTAATATCAACGATAAAGGTCCAGAATCGGGTAGTCCTGCAGTTCTTCGAATTGCAGACACCCAGTTGGCTCGAATACCAGCTGTTACAGCGGATAGTACTATATGTTTTCCATCCCACGTCTGAAAAATACGAAATTGTAAAGTTAGATTTAAGATAAATATAATATTTTAAATTGTTGAATGCAGAACTTTCTTTTTTTTTGTACAAATTTACCTTCGTTTCGAATGCGTATCCCGTGGATGCTGACGTGGGCAGTTCAACAACTCTTTCTACACCACTAAGATCTATAACGCCATCCATCAGCCCCCTATGTTCGGCGTGTGGATCCCTGAAGTACAATAGAGCGGCTCCTCTTAGAACGAACCAGTGTCGCGACCATCCCCCCGGTCCTCGCCGCTGTAGCCAGCCAGCTCTCGCGTGCAGCAGTCTTTCAGCGGGCAATTCAACTCGATGTTCCCCTCCTTCAGGATTTTCCACTACATCAGTAGGCTCACTACCCTCACTTGAGGAGCTCGAACTTGCTTCTTCAGGAGGAACAGCTCCGTCTGGAGTACCACGCGGCTGGCAAAGAAAATAAATAAAATTAGAAGTGATATTCGTCAAATTTCGAAAACATTAGAAGAGATTTATAGTGGTCGTTCCTTACGACATCCTGATAATGGAAAAGTATGATGACATAGCGTATTTGTACTCTGTCATCATACGGAGATATAATCTATGATGATGAGCTTACCGGTAAACGATCAGGCGGTGGTAGCCTCGTTGGCCTCTCCAGGGTGGGAGGCAACGCGCGGCGGGAACGTGGGCGTGTCAGCGAAGCAGCGATGTCGCGGAGTTGCTCGTCGTACGGCTGATGTTGCAGCAGAGGGGATCTCACGCCGACAGCTAGAAACGAGAAGTTGTTTTAAAAGTAAGTAAATATGCTTAGTAAATTGAAACTAGAGACTTTATGATGAGACTGTGATGAGTATAACATATCAATTTCTCAGATTTTGCCGATAGTAATAATTCTATTATATTCTATGTTTTTTTTAATGGATGATAATGAAACATGTGGGCTAAGCGACTGGACATTACTAGTCTGTAACCAATACCGGCCTTAGGAAGTGGTAGGCGTTCGAATGGCTTCCAAAGCCGACGTCCAAAAATGTGGCTGAAGTCCAAAAGACGTGCCAACGTTGGAGTGAATACCGTGGATCCTCGACGAGTTTATTTCATCAGGGAGGCGCTGGACGTCAAAAATTTGCTTACAGTTACCTAAGTAACTTTTTTCTTCATCACAAAGGGGGTGGGGTGTAAAAAATTTAAAAAACTTGCCCTGGGGCAGCAGGTAAGCTAAAGCCGGCCCTGTATATAATAGACAGTACATAACATACAATAATGATAGATATCTGTATATTAACGGCACGCGTGTGGGCTGTATTGAGGAATAATTGTAGTGGAATGTATAAATTGCATTCATAATTTGTTTGATAGTTACAATGGCAGGTGGGAAGTGGGAGGCGAACAGTACAGTGGGCGACGACGCAACGAAACAGTACAGTTTGCCACAACTTAATTATATGTCTATTTACACCAGCTGTTCTGGTTTTTAGTTTTATATTTATCAAAATATTTCTTTTCCAAATTTCCAAATCTGTTCATAACTGACGGAGTTATGAAGTAACAAACATACAAAATACAACCGAATTAAGAAACTTTATTTTTGAAGTCGATTAAAATCCAATATTTATGTTATTATTTTCAGTGATCACCGAAGGTACAGTTGTTGTCGTTTAGTACAGTAACGTAAACTATTCTAACAAACAACGAATTATATGGCATTGTTAATCTAATATTTCCATAGTACATATGCATGTGCTCAATCTGTCACATGGCGTATCTCGTAGCTTGCAACTAGGGTTGTCAACAGACCTCATAGCTGTATACAAATTTCTTGAGTTTATAAAGTACATTACTTCGATATATTGCAGAGAGAGAATACAACAAATGCAGATATATTAGTCAGATTTTGGGTAGAAAATGCAACAAATATAAAATGCATGCCCAAAACAGGGTTGACATCAGGAAGGATTTATATTTCTAGTCTTGAAAATAAAATGCCGAAACTTTGGGTAATATATATTTTTTGATAATAAATATATTACGTACCGATTCCAAAATTTTATTTTACATAATATATTCTTGAGACAAGGGTGGTTTGTTTATAATTTAAGTTTTTTTATATGACATTATTATACTATGAAGGTAAAAAACAAGCATACAGCTCGTCTGATAGTAAATGTTTACTGTAGCCTACGGACACCTGCAACACTAGGGATGTCATGCAAGATTTAAATAACTATTTTGATAAACCCCATACTGTATATCTAGGAAAAACCTCGACACATCCTGATGATTTAGGCATATCGCAGGAAACCTACTACATAAAGCCTGACCCGTCAATAACTAACAAGATGCCAAAACAGGACAAATACGTAATTAAAAAAAAAATACACATTAAAATTCAAATATTTTGTCTCCTTGCTACCAGAAGAGGTCTTCGCAGATAATATGTGGCGGAGAGATGAGCTAAATCATTTTCGCAAAAGCTTATAGAAAACTGGTGAAGCAGTAAAGTGAGACTTTTTCTCTGATCAAACTGTTCGGTATTTCTTTAACTATATAAGAAATGTATATGCAATTTATAATGTAACAGAGTATAGTTGACAACCCTAACTGCAGGCCTTAGAACAATGGAATCCATAGTTTCGCTTAGCACGGTCAAGGTCTCAACTAGAAAACTTCATTTATTTTTTCTTGTTAACTTATATATGTATTAGTATTTGTATATATTTCAAGTAGATAGATTCTCAAATGATTCTGATGTTTTGGTTGCAACTTGAATAATTTATAATCATTATAATTATTTATTTATTCATTAGTACATACATGTGTACATGGCGGACTTAATGCTCTCCCAGTCAACCATAGGGAAGTGTCAGAATACATGAATGCGGTACTAGTAATTATTGATATACATAAATACTAAAATTACATGTATAAACGAATAAATATATATTTACTTTTTAATGGGTGAAAATGGTATGTTAACCCCGCCTGCGCTAACGGGATACGCTGGCGGAACACCAGTGAAGGGTGATAGATGAGAATGAAAACAGGCCAGTTAGCCCATCATGATGAATTCATCAGGAATTAACCATGATAGTTTCCAGGGAGAACCGCGAGGAGGTCGACCTGGTTGGGTATATTGCTAGCAATGGGATTCTCAGTCTCTATTACTAACAATCCCTTTCCTCCCGAAATAGAGAGTTTGTGTAGACTATAAAAGGAAATTGTGGCTGTTAAATGGTAAGAGTACCTTCTTCGGTGGATGGCGCGGCGGCAGGTTCAGGCCAGGTGTCCCGTCGCCGCGACCTCGCCTTCTCCTCGCCGTTGATCTTGTCTCTGGTCGGTGGAGACGCTGATGATACTGGTTGGTCGGTGTATACTGGAAAAAAAAAGAAAAAAAAAAATTAAAATTAATGTAACTATGTACATTTGGCGGACTTAACGCCGGACGGTGTTCTCTACCAGTCAACCATTGGGCAAACAGAGAATTATTTCTTTGGTAGGCGGTGCATCATTGAATTGAATGAATATAGTATTAAGTCCGCCTTTTGTACCAGACATTTTTTTTTGTAATGTGGTCAATAAAGCATAAATAAATAAATAAATATAAAAAATAATACTTAAATACATACATATAATATATGAATTAAATATATACATACACAAATAAATACATAGACATTACTATAAGAAACAATTAACTATATTAGGAGAGCAAATGAAACAATCTATGGCTCAAACAAAGTAACCAGCAAGATTAAGTTTAAAAGGAAAGTGAAAAATAATAATAATAAAGGGAATGAACTTTATAAAACGGCCTTTTTTAAGAAATAGGAGTGCGACATATCTTTTTATTTGTTATTTTACTTTAGAAGGTATTTTGTTTTTTACAAAGTCTATGTACGAGTGGGAGACTTTGTACAAAACTCGATTGCTTGGGTACCTCTGTCCCATTCGTGTTTCAATTTCTACCGTGAAGCAGTTGTGTTTGCATGGCTGTGTTTCGGTTTGAAGGGTGGGATATGACGTGAATTTACAGGGTACAGAGGAATAACACCTGAGTCCTCAGGAATGGCAACGCATGGGTGGTATCATGGGTGAAACAGTATACTCTGTTATGTCCACGCTACTGCTCATGTCTATAGGCGACGGTTGCCACTTTCCATCAGGTGGACCGTAAGCTTGTTTACCATTCTGTGTTGTATAAAAAAAAAAAGAGTACCCTGTAATTTCAGTACCATAGCCCACTCTTCAAATCAAAATACAATTATACAAGTTTAAAATTATCTTTGACGAATAAGTCTCTGTTTAATGCACTCATCATGAGAGTACATTTTCGGTCGCATGGCGATGATAATCAGATAGTTTTTTAGGTAGGTATTTAAGGTATTCTTTTACCATCCAAACCCTTTACCGAGAGGGAGAAGGGATTGTTGGTGATGCGGAGTACTATACCATTGCTAGCAATATACCCTGTCAGATCGATCTCCCTGTGGTCTACCCTGGAAACCATCATGCTGATATATTCATCATTTCCTGGTATATGCCAAAGTTTTCCCAAGAGACTACAGCATGGGGTTCTACAAAAGGGGGGTAAAGAGGTTTCTTCAGGGTCGGCAACGCGCGCGTAATACCTCTGGTATTGCAGGTGTTCTTAGGCTACGGTAACCGCTTACCATTAGGTGGGCTGTGTGCTTGTTTGCCACCTCAGTGGTATAAAAAAAAATCATCACGATGGACTAACTGACCAGCTTTTTTATGCTCATCTTTCCTTACATGTGGCCAGTCAGTATATACCGTTAGTGCAGGCCATTAGAGGTTACCATTAAAATGAAACCTTATCAATTAAAAAGTTTCCAGATTTAATATTGTAAATACGAAATTCTGTTCCTAGCAGTGACTGTAATTGGTCTGTGGGTGCATCTTATTAATAACGTCTAGTCAAATACTCGTTTTATTAAGCTGACCTATAGGATTGCGATCTCGGCGGGAGCAAATGACTGTATCGCATGCGCCAAGGTCGCCAGCAAAAATAAATGCGTACGTGAACCCTTTTAGTGGATTATTTACGATGTACTTGTAAGTTGGAGAGGGCGGCGCGGCGGTCCCGCCGTCAAACATTATAAATGTACCTGTCATTATTTGAAATTGTATTGCATATTGCCAACTTTTTGGGGTTCCGCATGACAGTCGGGGAAACGTATTCTTTTTCTTCTTGATATTATAGCGTGAAAGAGCTATTTCTTGAGCAGTGAACTCAATTAAAACATCATAAATTTTCATGTCATCATCACCTTATACTGTTTACAGCTGGACATAAGCTTCCCTGTGGGTGGGTTTTGCCAGTAGTTGCTACGCTTGGTAGGCGGATTGACAACCGCAGTTAGGCTTTAGAGACGTTTTAAGAGGGACGCTGCGCCCATTCCTCGCCTTTCTTAGTCGCCTCTTACGACACCCACGGGAAAGGAAGGGGTGGCCTATTCTATGTCAGGACTTCACTGCAATTTTGCATTACCGTATAGTATTTGGAATAATTTTGAGGTTACTTTTTCAACCGACTTCTAAAAAGGAGGACCTTCATGATTCGTTGTTTATTTTTATATAACATAAAAAAATTAACTATAATTTTTTAACGTTTGTTATCTTATAACTTTGTCAATCATAAATCGATTTGTAAAATTCTTTTTTTGTCTGAAAGGATGTAGTTACAGATGGGTCCTATAGAAATGTTATTAAAAAAGTTTTAGTAGTTTACTTTAAATCAAAATAAGTAAATTTACTATAGTTGAAATCAATTTTTTTCTCTGAAATAAAATCTTAAATTGCTTTTGTCCACCACCGTCGTGTAAAGCTTTTACAAACTCAACAACTTGCGAGGTTATTTTTTTTTTTTTTTTAATGGGAGATGACGATATTGTCGCTCAATATCCGCTGTAATCAGTATACGCTGGTAAAGAACCAGTTAACGATGATAAGCGAGGATGAAATCAGGGCAGTTGGCGGATCGCGACAAATTTACAAGGAATTGACCTGGTTTCTGGGGGCGACCTGACAGGATGTATTATTTGTAATAGGTCATCTAGTCCCCATTAGTAGCAATCCCAATCTACTTGACAGGTTTAACTTGCCTAACTACAAACCTATTTTGTCTATGGTTTAAAAATTAATTTACCGTCTCAATATAACCTGTAAAGCTATCGAGTTTTAAGAGTTGATACTAAGACTTGTGGTGCTTGTCTCGAGTTTTAAATCATGAGTCAGTGTCTTCGTCGACCCTGGATTATAGCTACTGAACCCTAATATAGCGTGTCTGATATGCTCTTGACCTGTTTTATTTGCTAAATCAGCCGGTGGCGCACGCAAGTGGAATTAAGTTGGACTAGCTCTGCGTTGCGGGGTCGATTACAATGTATCGGTAATTGACTCTTAAATGTGCGCTCATCATAAGTAGATTAAGGCAGATAATTTTGCACGACATTACGTGTAATTAGGGTTGCCGCCCGTCCGGTTTTGTCTGGCCATGTCCGGAATTTCGGGTTTCTGACCGGATTTTGTCTGGCCATGTCCGGAATTTTGGGTTTCTGTCCGGATTTTGTCTGGCCATGTCCGGAGTCTTGGGTTTCTGATCGGATTTTGTCTGGCCATGTCCGGAATTTTGGGTTTCTGTCCGAATTTTGTCTGGCCATATCCGGAATTTCGGGATTCTGTCCGCATTTTGTCAAAACGTTTTAAAGGAGAAAACCTTTAATGAACATTTAATTTTCGTATTGAATTATTTAAAAATAAAATATACATTTATAATTAATTTCATCCAATTATTACATACATACTCGTATGTCTGGTTTATTTTTTATCCAATATACAACCCACCTGATTCATAAAAATGTCAAACCTCTCATAAGATTATTTTAGCTATTTTTGGCTCTTTCCTATTAGTCACATTTCCAATTTGAAAGAAAACAGTGTAACAGTTAAATTTGATTTTTAAATGATGTTAGTTTTTATGAATAAGGAGAAATATTTGTGCATATAAATTGTTTGATTTGTGAGGACTCTTCGAGACTTAAAATATTTTTAAAATAAGGTAACCCTACATGCAAGGAGACTTTTTCTTCGTATTTCAGAGGATGTCCATTATAGAAATTGCGAATGTGGTATTAAGCGAACATGACAACATTATCACCAGCGGAGAATGTGTATTTCGAATAGACATCTATGGTTTTTAAGAATAAAGTTTTTTTTTAAACAACTTAGAATGGCAAACAAGCTGACGGCCCACCTGCTGGAAAGTGGTTACCGTCGCCTATAGACATGAGCAGTACCATGGATATAACAGAGTATACTGTTTCGCCCATGATACCCCCCATGTGTTGCCATTCCTGAGGACTCAGGTGTTATCCTCTGTACCCAGTAAATTCACGCCATATCCCACCCTTCAAACCGAAACACAGTCATGTAAACACAACCGCTTCACGGTTGAAACACGAATGGGACAGAGATACCCAAGAAATCGACAAGCATACGGCCCACCTGATGGTAAGTGGTGAAAAGAGTGATAATAAATAAGAAAACGAATACACCGAAGATCTCTTATACGAGTACCTATTTAAAAAAGCGGCGGCTGCGAAAATTCTCTTTGGCGGCGCACGCGCATACGTTTCAATTTATTTGCCTTCGTAAAGACATATCGCTGTCTGTGGCAAATAAATCATCATTAAGGGCAAGGGCACTTTAACAGAATAGAAACAAATTGCAGATAATTTCTTTATAATGTAATTTATTTAAAGTATTAATATAGTGTATTTAGATGCATACTTCTCCTTTAAGGAATTTCAATAGGAGGTGAATGTTCGAATGACATTTGCCAAATAAGAAATGTTATACATATGTAGATAAAACTTGATCTCAATCATGTTTGCTTATTTGTCACGTCTTGGCGCCTAAATATATATGGAAGTTACAGGAACAAATACAATTTTTTTAGCTATGGAGAGCACTATGCTCAGAGCGGCAATGGGCTGGTCTCGTAGCGCGAAGAGAAGTAGTAGCGGAAGTCAGTGGATGCAGGTGGCTCAGGACCTTTCCTTATGGCAGTCTATGGGGGAGGCCTGTGTCCAACAGTGGACAGATGACGGCTAATATAATAATAATGATGATAATGTATATATATATATATATATATATATATATATATATATATATATATATATATATATATATATATATATATATATATATATATATATATATATATAATATATATAATAATGAGTAGGGATAATATTTCTATTATTATATGTATCACATCTCCCATATTTAGAACTAACAGAATTTTTCATCGTGCCTCCCACCAAATTGTTTATAATTACTCCTCTCCAT